CCTGCCTTTACCCTTTCTGACATTCTAAGCCGATGCTAATTGACAAATAGCCTCGAATCTTCCGGCAAAATCTATGGTAATACTCTCTCGACTCTTGATTACAAGGAGAACCGCACGGAAGCCATGCGACAAAAGCTTCGAGAAGACCCCCAAGCGGACGTTGGCTTCAGCGTCGATAAGCCCGTTCGTTTCAATCCGTACCCAAAGTACAATGGCGACGAATGGAAAAAGCAACGACACGCCGCTCACGTTCCCTGCAAGGGCCCAACTGGAGAGCCTGTCGAGGACCTGCTAGTCTTCAAGGGTCGTCCTCACAATTTCCCCGAGCCCAACTTTGGAAGCTATTCCTTGTTTAACATGGATCCCAACTTGTGCTGGGAGAGAGATACGCGACTTGGCCCCTATGGCCTGCTCCAGCAGACAAAGAAGGTTGATGGCGGAGCCGAAGTTATTAACTGGGATAATGTCAATTGGGGCGATCTGCAAAAACGATGCTTGGAGGCGAACGCTGCGAGATTCGATCTGAACAGAGATAAGAAGAATCCGTACTTGGACGTTTACCCAGAGCTTGCTAAGCCTGAGGCTCCCAAAGATGAGGCCCCCAAGGACGCCGATGACAAGGCTGCCACTGCTCAAAAGGATAAAGAGTCGCCAGTCCAACCTCCCAGGGAGGACGATAAGACGGTCAAGATCAAGGGGCGGTCGCCGTTTGACTCTTCTGGCGGAGAGGATGAGGCCAAGATTGTAAAGGAGAAACGATCCGTGATTCTGCTGCGATCCTACACGGGCAAGGTTTACTCCAAAAACGACAAGGAGGCGATTCGCGCCATGATTAGCGAGCTTTCGCTCAAATCTGGTGGTGAAATTGAAGTTGTTCTCCTTGTTCAAGTCAAGGACAAGAAGCTCAATATTTTCGATGACCCCGAAGTATACCAAAGCGTTTTGCAGAAGCACATCCCTCCCGAGTTCCATGGCATCACCGTTTTGTGGAATGACAAACAGGTCTGGGATATCTACACCAAGCTCGATGAAAAGGCACGAACTGTTCACACGGCGCAATGGCTCTGTGTCCAGAAATTCAGCGCTGACCACCCCGAATTCGACTATATCTGGAACTGGGAGATGGATTTCCGGTTCACCGGTCACCATTACGATATGCTCGACAACATTGCGAAATTTGCCGCCAAGCAGCCACGTCGGGGCTCCTGGGAACGGAGTGAGCGGTGGTATATCCCTGAATATCATGGCGACTACGATACGACCTTCCGGAAGGAAATCGAGGAGACTTATGCCGGCGATACTGTTTGGGGTGCCCCCGACCTCCCGTTTATCAAGCCAGTTGGCCCCAAGCCTCCCGTTAAAACGCCCGAGGAAGACAACTATTCATGGGGTGTCGGCGAAGAGGCAGACTTCATCGCCCTCGGCCCGATATTCAACCCTGTCCACAGTAACTGGATTATTGCCGATAATGTCTGGGGTTATTCAGATAAAGAGCACAGGGCCCGTGATCTTCCTCGCCGCACCACCATCGTCACCCACTCCCGTCTGTCGAAGCGTCTTATAGACATCATGCACATTGAGAACCTGCGTGGAAACCACGTTGCCTCCGAGATGACACCGCAGACCTTGGCCCTGATCCACGGCTTCAAGGCTGTTTACGCCCCGCATCCCATCTTTACGGACCGAGATTGGAACGGCAAATTCCTCAACCAATGGTTTAACCCCGGGCCCAAGGGAGAATCTGGCGGATACGGAAGCCCTATGGGCTGGGGTAGAGAGCGACGATTCCAGGGCAACTCTTGGTACTATCGAGCAGAGCCGCCGAACCGGATGTACAACAACTGGATGGGCTGGGTTGACACGGGCATTGGAGGCGAGCAATGGGAGCAGGAAAACGGACGACCATGCCTCCCATCTATTTTGCTCCACCCTGTCAAGGATACAACGCCCACTAAGAAGGACCACAAGACTGGCTTCGAGCTCTTCTACGGTTAAGGAGCTATGAATCCGTGCCGGCTTCTCATTGTCACAAGTTCCGCCACTTCCTTTTTTCTACTTGTCTCCGTCTTCTTCTTTCCCTATTACTGTCCTTTATTTTAGGATACCCATTTTTACATTTCTTATTCAACGACGACGGCTACTGCCCTAGTCGACTAATCCACTGTCTGGTGGACCCTTTGAACTGGAGGGAGGATGTACTATGATTGTTGACACACGCAAATACTCATCACGGTACGAGGGAAATAGGCGAGATGCGTACAGCCCGGCGTTTTTAGTTTATGATGGCACCGGATTTCGGGCTGGTTGTTTTTTTGTCCGCTTTGTTCTACCTACCTATTTGCATGACAGTATGGCGAGAGGAATTGTCTTTTTGCCTTGTGTGTGTGTGTAAGGAACACCAAACGAACGGAGTTACGTCTTAGAAGATTGCATCGTCTCTTTCTGCATTGTTTCTGTATTGAAGGCATGAGACGTGATGAGAGAGAAGCAGTGTCGACGTCGCTGCTCGTACGTATAATGTTTTATAAGAATTCATTAAATGAATGACCTAAACAAAGAAAATCAAGTGCTCCTGTTACAGAGTGATTGCCTACCTGTGAAATAACCATGTGCCTGACCTTTTTGTCGTTCTTCCTAGATACATGTCAACTGTAAGATGCTTGGCTTGGCTCTTGTGGGGTGAAGCCGGATGATTCGGTGCCCCACGGCCGTTCCCGCTAGATGCATGTGCCGTATCTGCTTATTTCAACGGTTGAGTGACTGGGTTCGCCCGTCTTCTTTCCACCCTCTTACCAATATATCATGGCCACACTTCACATCAAGCGAAATCCATTATTCACCAATTAGGGAGACATTTCTTTTCAGTAATGATCTGGCATTTCGTAGAGCTCTTGTTGCACCATCGGGGTGAGGCGAGCGGTAGTGGAAGGCGATGAACTTGTCGAACCAACCATGAATCCGTTTTCCAGCGTGAGCTTTTGTCTACCTTTGGATTGAGTCGAGCATCAGTGCTAATTATGTTGACAGACACCTACGCCACGGCGGTTTTTACTGCCCAGGCGATCGACGCAGTCGTCGTCGCAGACGCCAGGTGCTCCTCCGCAATTTCAATCCACTCCGCGCTTTGGCTCCTCTTCGGCTCCTAGGCCGACGCAAGGCAATGAGCTCGATATTGAGGAGTCTGAAGATGGAGAGGAAGAGGAGGTCATCTCGGAGTCGAGTTTGTCAGGCGATGAGAGGGGGGCTACGGAGACGAGACAAGCTGCTTCACGCAACCGTGTGCTTGACATTGAGTCGGATGCCGGCGTACCACCGCAGGAGGAACCGTCGTCTGGTGTGGTGGATTCAAGATCGAAATCCCACCGACGATTTCATATTGAGTCAGAAAGCCCGAGTGAGGGCTCACAGGGTACTACTGTGGTGGGCAGAGAAGCGAAGCGTCGAAAGATGTCGATATCTCCGACGCCTTTGATCGGTTCTGACGATGCGCCTCACGAGGAGACCGCCTTTGATACTGAAGACGGAGCCTCGGTGATGAGTATGGATAGCGGGGAGGGGTCGCCCATAATTATGCGGAATTCCAAGGCTCTTCCGCAGCCTATTTTTCAGCAGGCGCCTCGATTCAAACCTCTTGACGCCGAGACTGCTTTCAATGGCCTCCCGGCGGCGTTTTCACCACAGAGGAGAGGGTCAAGATACGTCTCTGGGGGGATGGCGGCTCAGCTCCAAGGATGGCTTTCGGAAGTCAAGGGGTGGGATGAGAACAGCGGGAGAGTCGAATCAGCGATGAAGCTTCACGTGGAGCATGTTAGGCCGGGGAGGCGAATGTATCTTGTAGAAGGCCGCGATCCTTTGACAGAGGCATCTAAGAGATGGATACTGGCTGGCGAGGGAAAGCTGACCGGTCTGGGTAAGAGAGCAGAGGTGAAGATGGAGAGCGTGGTGCTGATTGAGCCGCCTGTGTGGGATGTTGAGCTGGAGGGGAGTATTTGGAATGTAGCCTGCGAATGGAGCGTGGAGATGACCTGAACAATGCCTTTTTTACGAAATATATGTATTTTATGTGATGGATCTCATGATGTTGATTTTTATGGACGTTGATGCATATAAGCCGAATTTGCACCAAGCGCGAGTGAGTGGCCAATTGAGGTTCTGCGGAATATCGCCATACCCTGCAGCCACAGAAACAGCAAAGTTCATCTCGACATTGCCTCACTGAAAACTCTCATTTTCAATCAAATACCTTTTCCTTCTCATTATAGTAACTACCATAATGATACGACCCTTTTCCCGCCTAATCTCTGTCCCAAAGCTGAGATTAGCGGTCGCTCAACGACGATGTTTTTCATCTGAAATCACAACGAAGACCTCAGACCCGCTCCGAATATTGTTTTGTGGCTCGGATGCCTTCAGCTGCGAATCTCTACGTGCACTGCACCATGAGCATGAAAGGAACGCACAGCTTATCGAGTCTCTGGATGTCATGGTTTTGCCTCCGAGGCGAACTGGGCGAGGATTTAAAGATGTCAGTGAGGGTAAGCATGGTGTTTCTCACTGACGTTTCGAGATGGTATTGACGGTAGGACAGTGCCGTGTAAATCTGTTGCGGAACATTTGGGATTGAGAATACATCAGCGAGAGACTTTTAGAGGTTGGAAGGTAAGTTCTACCTCTATGGCCCTGATCCCTTACACATCTGTAGATGTTCCACACCTCCGTTCATGACGACTCTCATTTTGGAGATTCTTTTTTTTTCCTGGGCAAAGGCTAAATGGACGATAGACACCAGAATGGACCAACTTGATTGTCGTTGTTTCATTTGGATTGTTTGTTCCGCCACGGATACTGAATTCAGCGAAATATGGAGGACTGAATGTTCATCCATCACTATTACCGCAGTAAGCCTCACCATTGAAGCCCTATGCCATGGTACCGAGTTAGATTGCATTGAGTTAACTGAGTGGCACAGTCTACGTGGTCCAGCTCCAATTCATCATGCCATGATGCGTGGCGAAAAGTACACCGGTGTATCCCTTCAGACATTGGATCCCAAGGTCTTTGACCATGGCACCGTTCTCGCCCAGACACCATCCCCTGGCTTACCGATACCAGCCAGTGCTACGCTCCAGAATCTGACGGAAGCCCTCGCCAAGGTAGGCGCAGAGATGCTCGTCCAGGGGCTACGAGACGGACTGCATGTGCCACCATATACGGACGCAGGGTGGATGGTCGAGCAGCTTGGGGACGAGGAATTGGTTTACGCATCGAAAGTGGGCAAAGGAGAATCACAGATTAGTTGGTCTGACTGGACTCCAACCCATTTTGAGCGTTTCATCAACATCTTCGATACGGTGTGGACACAGGCGAGGAACAGCAAAGGTAAGTTTAAGCGAGTGCTTTTCTTAGACGCAGAGAGCGTCCCTAAGCATGACGTGACGGGAAGAGACGAGGAAGTATTATTTCGGGTTGAAGCAGGGAAAGAAGGAAAGGATACCCAGAGGGCCGTCAGAGTCGATGATGAACGTGATGCATTTTACGTACAGGCGGCACATGGGGGCTGGGTGCGTGTGAAGAATGTCAAGGTTGATGGCAAGACGACGCAGACGGCGAGGATTGGGATGAGGGAATTCCTGAAGAAGATGAAGTGATTATACAAGGTACTGCGTTGCTAGAATTTCACCCATGGTGATAATCGGATGCGTATGATATGTACTAAATAGTAGGACCAGACAAGGGGATGCTGTCCGATTGAGATCCTAGGATTCGGTATGCAAAGTCACGGGCTCGATACGAGAACTCCCGGCCATCGGCATCAACCTCGGGAAATCTGATCTCCTATTCACAAGTCCGAAAAAAAATGCAAATAGTAAATATGCGCGACCTCAAGCAAGATGGAACCTTGGACTAGACTCATGCTGCCCTGGCAATTATTTGCCATGACTTGGTACGCTGGAACTTTCAGGAGAACTCGCAGCTACAGTTCGTATTTCCAAATGATGCGGCCAAAAAAACAAGATGGAAGAGATGAGGGAGAGCATTCTGACTACGGTGTTATAGAGACCTCGCAGCCAACACGAAGAGCAAGCCTGCCGCGTATGCAAGACAGGGATCCAGGCGAATGGGCTGCACAGAAGCTACAAGGTCCGGGTTGAGCAGCCCAGAAGCGAAACAGAAGCTTCTATGGGGGGAACATTCCATGACTACATACTCGTCCATACTATCCGGTAGCAGTTGAGATTGCCTGGAGGGAAGGGGAGGGAATTGAACGCTGACGTTTGGGAGCTCTCCCCCCCTGAAAGGAGCAGTTGGGGATACTTCTAAGGCAGAGTGGAGCTATGGGGGACTTGTCCGGAAAGTCCAGCGGGAAAAGAAAATTCAATTCAAATAGATCGAATCCTGAAAGCGGGTTTGCATGCATTTGCCCCCACTGTTCATTTGGTGGGTTTTGTTTTCACGATTAGGCTTCTTGATGGCCCGTGATTCTCTTCAATAGTATCTGCACGGCTGGTTCTTCATGGTGTTTGTGTGGTGAGGCTTTCGACTAGGGCAGTCCCCTGGCTGGATAGGTGGCCGGCCGTCCAATCACAGCGGCCATGGGTGATGGGGGACCGCTGGACGGGCTGGTTTAGCGCCCTGAAGCTTCCCTGATCCGGCGCCTCTACCGGCCGAAAGTGGTGGTGCTAGTGCAACCACGTACTCGTAGAGGTCGGAGCTCCGGGTTGTCGTCCAGTTGGGTCGATTGTTTTGTTGACAACATGCCCTCGAAGGGAAATTAACGTCGGCATCAGGCAATACGGGCATGGCTCTCTGCAGATGCAGTTGAAGCTGGAATGCCATGATGGCGCGGTACATCCTGTCTTCAGGCGTCTTCGTTTCTTTTTTCCCATCGTGGTCTCGCTTCGACACTGGGGTGTTTCTGGTGCCTGAGATGCATCGATGCGCCAAGATTGACGCGAGGCCAGTCTCTCTCTCTTCCTCTTCCTCTCTCTTCCTCTCCAAACGAAGCTCGGCCGCCAAGCAAGCACGGGATTTGCTTTATATGATATGCGACAAGAATCGGAATCGCCACGCAGTCCAATCTGCAACCTGCATATCTTGAGGTTTTATGCCGCCCATCCTGCGTGGCGCAGCGTTTCGGCGATTTCCCATGTGGGACTTTCCGCCTGCTATCGAGGGAAGACGCGGCACACAAAGTCCAATAGATCCAACACGACTCGGGCTCGCTAAAGCGTTTACAACCATCGACATCCAAAGGCGGATAGACTGGGACGGTAGAGATACATGCGATACCTACTCGTGCGTGCACCATCTCTGCGCACTGGTACGTGGACTCGCACCCTCGGGCAAGGAGCTGGAGCATGTCTGTGCAGATGGTATTCGTATACGAAGCTCATGCTCCCTATCTAGGACGCTTTTGTCGTGCGCCCTTATGCCGGGGATACTCCCGTCGAAATTGAGGGTGATTATGGAGTATCGAGCCCATATCGGCATGCTGACGCCCTGGATTGAAACCCGCGGCAAGGCGGAGCGAGCTTGCCGCCTGGCATTGGACGAGCAACCGGCTTTTCAGACATTTCTGCAGCCCGTTATACGAGGCGAGTAGGTATGGGCACCCCGCCATTCTCCGTTCTCGTACAGTACGGATGCCCGAGGCGGCAACCAATCCAGGTACTGGATACTGGAACTCGGACTTTTCTTGGCCGACAAGGGTGTTGAAGAAGCCTTCAAGGAAGTCGACAGGTCCAGACTGAATGTTTCACCCCTGGAACCATGCAGTTCCTGCATTAGCGGCCCCGTCGTCGAGAGGGGATGGGGTGATTCGCCGTCGGCACGCATGAATCTCTGCAGCAGGAGAGCAGTTCATGCCCGGGCGCCATGCCAGGCCATGCCATGCCATGCCGGATACCATGGAACTGGATCTCCTGAGGGCGAGCCTCGTCGTTCTGTGCTCGACATCTTCACGAGCTCCGTTTGATTCCAGCTGAAGACCGGGTCCAATGTCCGACGCCATGCTGTATAGAACTGCAATCTCGCCGTGCTATTTCTGTCTGTTGATGTTTGAGAGCCAAGCCAGTAGGGCTCGGGTCCCGTTACCAAACTGGTTCGGCTCACCCTCCCGGATCAGCTTCGTGATTCGCCCTCCCCATGTTGCCTCCAACTGATTGGTCTGGGCGTTGCTGCTTTCCCACACGCCCAAGATGGCCCCATTTCAGCATAGTCCCCTGATCTCACTGGGTATTCGCCCACATATGCTCGATACGGCTTTCACCCCCTGGCGCTATGGGATCTCAAGGTGGACAGCAAGGGCTTTGCCAAGTCTAGGAGGCCCTTAGGCGTATGGCATTACTCACATGCCGTATTGTCGTTGGCCTTGGATGCACGCGGTGTTGCCGCCTATGAGAAAGCTTCTCGTAATGGGCCCAGGGGGTCCAAGATGTTTCCATCTAAAAGAAGGTCGACTGCCCGCAGAAGTGTCTCATCTCACACTCCTTCGTTGTCAATCCTTTACACGTCAATCAACGACAACTTTGAGCATCGACGCTCGTCCTCTGACGTATCGTACGTCTAAAACACATTCGTTCCTGGTCGAACACATCAAGAAATCTAGTCATTCTTTCAGACGATAATCGAATTTCAGCCTATCCTTAACTTTTCGAGACAACCATTCGCAAGATGCCTTCTCTTAACGCCCTTAGCACGGCGCTGCTTGCCTGTGCGGGTAGTGCTGTTGCTACTCAGTTTACTTTGGCCGATACCTACGACCACACCAACTTCTTCAGCAAGTTCAACTTCAACGATGTACGACCCTCTGTTCTATATCCGTCATCACCCGCCGATTGCTTGAAATGTCTTACTAACTGCGGTACTATAGGCCGCCGACACCAACTCTGGTTTCGTAGTCTACCAGAACCAGGCCAACGCTCAGGCACAGGGGCTTGCCAAGATCACCAGCAACAACGAGGTCTACCTCGGAGTTGACACCAAGACCGTCCTCAAGGGCTCCGGATTCCCTGGCCGTAACTCCATTAGACTCGAGTCCAAGGCTTCCTACAAGCACGGTCTCATCGTTGCCCGATTCTCCCACCTGCCTACCAACAAGTGCGGTAGCTGGCCTTCTTTCTGGACTCTTGGTGACAGCTGGCCCAACGACGGAGAGATCGATGTGTACGAGGGCTGGAACAACATTGTCCAGAACCAGCCTGCCTTCCACGTTGGCGACACCAAGTCTTTCGGCCAGTGTGTTCTCGAAAACGCCGGCCAGACCGCTTCCGTCGCTACTGGCAACTGCGACAACACTTTCCAGAGCCCTCCCAGCCAGTACCTCAACCAGGGATGCACTGCCAACGACAACAAGGGCCCCTGGGCCTCCAGCTCCGGCGGTACCTGTGAGTATACACACGACTTCCCTTGGGAAATGGGTCATCGATATCTAACTCTGTATAGACGCCATTGAGTGGACCAGCGACTACATCAAGCTGTACAACTGGGCCCGCGGTGCCGAGCCTGCTAACCTGGCCTCGTCCAACCCTGACACAGCTACCTGGGGAACTCCCGCTGTCAACCTCCAGGGCTCCAACTGCAACATCGACAGACACTTCAACAACCAGCGCCTCATTCTCGACATCGACTTCTGCGGCAACCCCGTTGGCACCCCTGCTTTCTGGCAACAGAGCTGCGCCAGCGTCACCAAGCAGGCCACTTGCGCTGACTATGTCGCCAAGTTCCCCGGTGACTTTGCCCAGACCTACTTCCAGATCCAGGACATCCGCTACTTCAGCCAGAGCACCAGCAAGCCCACCACCTCCAGCAAGGCTGTTACTTCAAGCAAGCCCGCTACCTCCAAGCCCGCTACTTCCAGCAAGGCTGTTACCTCTAGCAAGGCTGTTACCTCCAGCAAGGCTGCTACCTCCAGCAAGGCCGCTACCTCTTCCGCTCACAGCAGTGTTGTCGTCCCGACTTCCGTGATTGCCAGCTTGCCCCCCGTTGTCACCTCCAGCCTCCCCCCTGTCGTCACCTCCAGCAGGTGGTCCAACTCTTCTGCTGCCGTCACCACTCCCGCTCAGCTGACGACCTCGACCGTTTACACCACCCGCGTCCACACCGTCTCTCAGTGCGGTCCCGAGGTCACCAACTGCCCGTTCCGCCCCACTGTCACCACCGAGACCGTTGCTCTGTACACGACCGTCTGCCCCGTCGAGGAGGCCGAGTCCAGCTCTTCCGCTGCTGCTGCTGCTACCACTGCTCCTCCCTCCAACGGCGAGGGCAGCGGTCCTGAGACTCTTACCACCGCCATCACCATCGTCCACACCATCACGAGCTGTGCTCCTGATGTGACCAACTGCCCTGCTCGTCACTCTACCCAGGTCATCCCCATTCCTCCTGCTCAGCCTACATATGTTGCTCCTCCCTCGAACGGCGCTGGCAGCGGTCCTGAGACTCTCACTACTGCCATCACCATCGTCCACACCATCACTAGCTGCGCTCCTGATGTGACCAACTGCCCTGCTCGTCACTCTACCCAGGTCATCCCCATTCCTGCTCAGCCAACTGGTGTTGCACCTGTTGTCCCTGTTGCCCCTGCTCCCCCGGTCTCTATTGTCCCTGTTATGCCCATTGCTCCGGCTCCCAGCAATGCTGCCGGCGGTGTCGTTCCTAGCTACCCCGTCGCTCCGGCTCCCAGCGCCCCCGTTGAGCCCGTCGCCCCTGTTGCTCCGGCTCCTAGCGCTCCTGTCGAGCCCGTCGCTCCTGTTGCTCCCCCTCCCGTCGCCCCTGTTGCTCCCGTTGCCCCCGGCGCTCCCGCCAACGGCAACGGCACCTGGTCAACCGTGGTCTCTGGCCCTACCGCTCAGCCTCCTGCTCCTTCCAGCGGCCCTGGCTGCACTGGCGCCGACTGTCTCCCCCTGCCCAACAGTGCTGTGCGCACCGGCATGAGCACTCTTGCTCTTATTGGTGCTATGGCTGTCATGCTGTTGTAAGGAGAAGCCAAGTGATTCCGAGGAGTTGGGAGAGGAGAGGAAATCAGAAAAGAGAGGAGAGAAGAAGCGGGAAGAGGAGGAATGCGTGAAGAGATATGGAGGATATGTAATTCAAGATGCAAGTCAGTTTAATTGAGGCGTTATGTTGGATATTTATTTGCCACCATATTGAATATGGGAGGAACGTATATACACTTATAGAGTTTGGACCCAAAGGTCTAGTCATACTGGTAGTCACATTCTACAAGTTTCCTTTATCTTTTTTCTTTTCAAAACAAAATAGGCATATAGCCTTTTAGATCTTTATTCATCGTACTTGAGTTCTATGTAACCAAGCGTCTGTGTGAACTCCATCCGCAGCAAAACTAGGTAGCCCCTTTTGCTAGCCAATGCTTTAGAGCAAATCTGGAGAAAGCGACTCTACCTTGATGTCCACCTTCATCTCCTCGTCCGGGGAATAAAACGCAGTCAGGATCCTGACTTCATTCTGAGAGCTGACGCTCCGGTCGGCGCACACGTCCTTGGCAAGCTTGACGAGCCTAGGCCAGTGGCCGGCGGGAACGGTTGTCTCTTTGAGGCGGCCGCTGAGGACGTGGTCTGCGCTGATCCAGTACTGGACGAGGGCTGGGGAGGAGCCGCGGGGTTCGTGGACTTTGACGCGGTGGTAGTGCGTGATGGCGAGGTTCTTGAGCTGGTGGGAGTTTGAGGGGAGGGTGTCGGAGTCACGACGGGCGGTGCCGCCTTTTGTGGGGAGAGGTTTGGCTGCGGTGGGCGTTGAGCAAGACATTTTTGGTGGATGGGGATGTGGTTCTGGTTCTGGGGTTTTGAGGTTGGTGAAGGAGTTGTGATTTTGGTTGTGGTTGTGGTTGTGAAGAGAATACAGAGGATATAAAGGGAGCATCGTGATGTATAAATAAGAAGTAAGATGGCCTGGAGAAGGCAGATGCTTGCCATGGAGTGAACTATCACGACATTGTACAAGATGCGTAGCCGATGAATCGAGAAGCAGAACAGTTGAACATGGGTAGATGCCTGGATCAAAACAAGATCAAAGGGGGTTCGAGCTCATTCACTCACGACAAGTACAAACAACAAAAAGAACGCAATGGACAGTTCAAAGGGTATCAAATATGTTTATTCATTCGTCGGCGATCAACAAGAATTCAACAAAGGCGCGTGCGAATCCATTCAGCCCACTTGCACAGATCCTCGAGCCGTTCAAGCACCTTTCCGAGATCCTGTCTGTTGAGCACCTTGCCCTTTCCAGTTGCCGCCTGCTGTTCAATAATGTTCTCGTTGACAATCTCCACCACGCCTCCTTCTAGAATACGCAGCGTAATGTCAATGGTAGAGTCCTTGACAGGGAAGACGACCTGAAGATATGGTGATGGATGAACCCATAATATGACATCAATGTCCATATCTTGGCCGTTTCTCTTTTCGCCGTTGCTGGTTTTTGAACCTGCTTCCTGCTTCACCTTTTGTTCTTCTTCTCTATCATTTTGTCCCTCATCATCACTTGACGCCATGAACGCCCCCAGCTCATCCTTGACTGTCTTGGTAGTAGCAGGAGCCGATGACGCTTTGACAGACTTGGGCGAGCTCTCCTTTGTTTCCGACCCGAAGCTATTGTTCAGCAATATGGAAAGGAAGGCGAACTGTCGGAGGAGAGGAAGCATGTCAATGAGTTGACGCGGATGTGAAAAAGACATTTCTGTGACTTCCTGGGAGTAGATTGGCTTGTAGATGAAGAGTGTGTTATGGTGACTTCGGGTGAATGACTTGCCCTGCCGGTCAAAGACACGAACGTCGCGAAGGCGTGTAATCGTCCTAGATTCACTGGGGTCCTGCTTGTTTCCTGCTGATATGGGGAAGAACAAGTCATCGAATGTTGGCGGAGGTAGAGGGCGCTGGCCAAAGTCGGCCGAAGGACTTGGGTTGGGAGGTGTGGAATTCACATAAGAGTAGAGTCTGATGCAGTCATTCTGCGGAAGGATGACAGGCGGATCAAAAGTAACTGTGAATGTAACTTGAGGCAGCGTTGGGAGATGCATCGATAGTTCATCCATGCCCGAGTTCTTATTCTCATCCGATGAAGGGAGTGAGATGTTCTCTGGTTCTTGCCAGTCAAGGATGGGGAGGCTGTGAGGCCGCAGTGCTTGATTCTGTTGCTCGCTGTCCGGTTTTACCACATCCTTGGAAATCCAGTCCTCGGATACTCTGACGGGTGACAGGCCAAGTGTTTCGAGAGGCGCGCAATCAAGTAGAAGCGACCAAACCTTTTCGTTCTCAGAAAAGACCAAGGCCTTGCCGTCTGAAGAGGGCACAAATCGCAACTCCTTCCAGTACTGCAAAGCGAGGCCGACTTTATTTCGTGCATGCATAACGGGATAGCCGTGTCTGGTACACAAGGCAGCCAGAGACAGGTACTGATCCGACTTGCCAGCCATCTCCGTCTCCTTCCGCAAAGTCGCAATGTCCCAGTGATGCAACCTTTCTAAGCTGGTAAAGATGCCTGCCAAAGCCTCGTAGCAGTCGAGGCCGGGGATGATGCTCAGCTTGTCCAGGTTGGCAATGTGGCCAAAGTTGTACGCGAATTTATCCAGAGTCTTTGTCAAGGGACTCTGGTTGGGACCAAGCTTCAAGTCTGCCAACAGGATTTGACTAGCCGCCTCCATATGCGTGGAAACTGAGGCTGCCGAGCCATGGTAGGCTAGCGACACGTTTTGCACAATGTTGTTGTCCAGCACTATATCGACGGCAATGGCAGAACCCGCAATAGCCAACGTTTTCGTCTTGCGTCCGTCTGCGGCGGTATGTTCCTCGGATAGAAGCTCGAGGCCAAGCCGCTGAGCAAGCCGTTCCAGGCCTGCTTCGCTGACGAACCCTTTCTTTTGCTGCCATGGTATGTCAGTTTAGAGGTTTTCATGTGCGTGAAGCAAGGGCAGACAAACATTCAAGAGCTTAAGGATACTATCCAATCTCTTAAGTTTATCGTCTTCAGTAGCAAACGTGACTCCCAGTGTGTCCAGCCCGCCGACGCCGACATTATCGAGGCCGATATCAAAACTGCCGCCAATGCCCAGTGCCCCCATGGCGGCGGCAGTCGAGGGACTGTCAAAGTTCAGAGCGCCCATGCCGGATTGGCCCATCAACGTAGATGTCGCCGGTGACTTCTTGACCTGTTGCGGCGACGATCGCTGTCCACGAGGAGAAAATGCAGCCTGGGCGGGATTGGAGAAGGGCGTCGAGATGGGCGGCGTTGCACCGGCAATTTGCGACGGCGTCGGGCCTTGATGGGACGGTGTGCGGCCCTGCTGCGAGGGCGCATGCCTCATAGGCGTTGGAGTTGCCATGATGTATCAAGATGCTCGATTCGCGTGGGATGAGGTCGTGAGAATCGGGATCGGAGAGGGCAAGAGATGGTCGTCGAGGCGATGGGTGAAGAGCGGGAAAAGGCGAGAGCGCCAGCTGATTGTCCGTTAGGGTGTTGAAGGCATCGGTCAAGAACCCATCAAAGGGCAAACAAAAGGCTACAGCTGGTAGCTAAGCAAATATCACAAGTATTAGAGCAAAGTTGCATGAATGCCAAGCTGGAATGTCCAGATGCTGGAGGTTGACGGAGCTGGCCTGATGGAGCTTCTGCTCTGTTTCGCCAGCCTTGTGCCGTGCCGACAGCTAGCGGCGTAGCCCACTGAAGAAGGTACTCCGTTTAGTGCGCCATTCCGGTGGATGTGCAAGTACCAGCGATCGGGCTAGCCTTTTACAACCGACGAGGCTGCATCTCCAATGTTCTCTTTTTCTTCCCTGTCGTCTGCTTTTTTGAAAGCTTCAAGTTCCCTATCGCATTCTCATGGCGACTGTCGGGAATGCGGCCCGGCAGATACGAGATCGGGCTCTTCGCGAGAGATCGATCCGCGTGCTCGTATCGCCAACGCCAATCTCCTTCGCCGAGCGTCGCTCAGTTCTGCAGGTGCTGGAGCAATATGGCCCTGTCGAGTTCTTCAAGATGACTCCCGTGAGTCCCAATCCCTTGAACAGCATATAATATATGGTGCGGCAAATCAGACAAACTATCTAACCACGCAATCGATTGGATGCTTTAAAGGGCTACTACGCCAACTTTGTCTCTATAACGAGAGAGCCCTCGACCGCCGAAAGGTTGATAGCCAGCAGCCCTCTAACATACAAGATCACGGAGCCTGTTCGCAGCGCGGTGGAAGACATTTACGTTGCGGATCTAAACGAACCAGAGGGCTTTAGCACCATGCAGCCGACAATCACTGGGCAACGGACGAGCGGCGCGAACTCATGGTCTGACGGCGCGGAACAGGGACAGGAACAGGGACGAGAAGCGGAACTAGAGCAGGGGGAGAGGGAGTTCAAGCTGGAAATCTTCCCTGCGCCCGAGTACAATCATAGATTTGCCATGGCCGGTTCGCCGCTGCACGGCTTCTGGCACGATGACTACCAACAGGACCAATCCTTCATTGCGACGACGCTAAGGCAATCGCTGCCCAAGAGCATCGCTAGCGAGGGGCTTGTGCACTGGATGGTGAGCGGCATGAAAATGCGAGAAGGGCGGCGGACGAAGAGGCTGCAGATCAAGGAATGGCTTCCCAGCCACATGAAGAAGGGCTCGACTGAGTAAGAGTAAGCCAGCGCTATACTATTACTACAGACATGCGCGGAGAGCTGCGACAGGTGCCACAGGACGACGATGAGGAAGGACGATGCCGGCCCTTGTCCCGCAATGAATGCGACATGACTGAGACGGCCTGAATTTTGCCGGCGACAATGAACGCAGGGCGGTAGTATTGCAAGAAGAGGCTGGTGGTCGCACAGGATGTCACTCCATTCAGTCGTTGTCTCAAAGGTGACGCCAGTTAATTTCCAAAAAGCCAAGGCAGGGAAACAAACAAACACCAACCAAGCGCGATTGGGCAATTGAGTGTTCCCAAAAATGGAACAAAAGCCGCTGGGAAAACAACATTGAAGAGAGTTTTGAGGGATGAACCATTGCCTAAATCAGAAGTTGATGATGATGGATCTGCGCACGCTTTGCAACTTTCCTTGTTCTGGCTCCGTCCCGGCACAAGCAATACAAGAGCGCGGCTGGTGCTGGTGCTACAGATACTGTACTTCATCATCATGTGCGCATAAACATGTGTAATCTAGAACGTACGAGCCGCCTCCATCGCCGATGATGTGGCCATGCATGGGGGGGCTAAAGGACTGGGATGTGCGAGGTCAAGACAAAAAATTTCACCTTACGTCACCCAAACGGCCATCCAACACAGCCCATCACGCCGTCGCGGTGGTCAGGGCAGTGGCGCATCGTCTCCAGATGGCTGTTTGGCCCGTCTTGTTGTGTCTCGCCTCGTTCGTCACACGATAGGGGGGAGCGATGCCGGGCGAGGGGATTCACAGGTCCGGACGCAGTCAAGAGCGAGCAGAAGACAAAGGAGAGTCGAAGCGTGTCCCTGCTTGCTTGATTCCTGATTCATCCCGGGCTGCCATGACACTTGCACTTGGAACAGCGGCCACGGCAGGGGATTCTACGCGTAGACCGCCACACCCATCCCCTGTCCTACGTTCGCATCGGGCTTGGCCTTGGGAATCAAGACCCAATATTGTGGCTCCAAGCAGGGCAGCGATCTGGTAGCGCAGCCACTCTCGCTACGTCACCCGCAGCTCTCGTGAACTGCAAGGCTCAGCCGTGATCCGAGTGGGCTAGCAGGTGGGAATACTTGGACGGGCCGGGACATGATGTTTTTGCTTGGAAAATTTCCTCGAGACAAGGATATTGGATGTACTTGTACTCGTATGCTCTGCCTTGGCCACGGTGCCATGGTTGGTCCGAGACACTTGCCGGGCGGAGCAACGCCATGTCGGAAAGGAGCGCTTCGCTTCGCTCAAGGATCGCGATTCCATCTATGGAGAAGATGTAGGTAGGGGCTTCGGTGTTGTGCGAGTGGTCTACGGAGTCTGTGAAGGATCATATACGTGTATAGCCATTGCGTGTTCTGCACTGTACATACAGAGAGGACGAGCACAAGGGCCAGAAACAAAGAGAGTCCATGACCGGGTACACGCTAGCAAGGGGATTCGCGTTGCTTCAACTCGTTGAGCAACAACCGGCACCAACATGTGCCTAGACGGGGGTGGATCCGTCCAAGCATCGTATCTAGACACGGCCAAGCCATGTCCATCGCGTGGACAAAGACCAAAAGCCGGCAGAAGCACGCTTGGCAGCTCTGTCAAGTCTAATTCGTTCGTCTTCATGACGTCGCCCTTCTGTGGCACCCAACTGCTGTCGGCGGCCGCTCACCCTCGTGAGACAACAAGGAGCCGTGCGTTGGCTTATATGCTGACACTCTCCCTCCCTTTTCTCCCTTGCATTGGCCATTCCATTACTATTTGTTTCCATCCAATACCTCTCATTTCCTTCGTCTTTGTTCAACTCGACTCACCCCGTCGTCGTAACTTATAATACTACCGAGCAGTTGCCATCACTGCCTAGTGCCTCTCAGTATCTAAGCACATCAACAAGTGCACTCTTTCCATCGTCATCATGGGTGTCGGCACATTCTTTCACTACTTCGGCACAGTGCTGCTGCTTGCTGCCACGGCACTCCTTATTGTCGTGTCGGTAACCGCGCCTGTGGTCAATGACCTCTCCATCCTGAAGATCGATGTCAGTGGCAGCAGCACTGTGGACAGAATAACATTTGGCACGTTTGGATACTGCATCATCAGAGAGTACGTGCCCTTTCTACCCTCATCGTCTTGAATCGCACCACAAGAATATGGAACTAACATACAATATCAGCGGGCCTGATGATTGCACCAGCTCCCACGTTGGCTACGATCCCACCGCCGCTCTCGCAGCAGTCAACGGCCTTACCTTTTCCAATGGCGACCGCGATTCCGCCAAGGTCCTCACCCGGGTTCTGATTCTGCACCCCATTGCTGCTGGCCTTACCTTCTTGGCCTTTTTGCTCTGTCTGGGCACCAGCTTTCTCGGCTCCTTTGTCGCCTCCCTCTTCTCTTTCCTGGCCTTTGTCGTCACGATTGTCGCCATGGCATGTGACTTTGCCGGCTTCGAGATCATCAAGCACGCCGTCAACACCAGGGGCCCCAACAACCTCACTGCCCGCTGGGGTCCTACCGTCTGGTGCATTCTCGTCGCTGCCGCCTTGAACCTCATCGCAACTGTCTTGGTCTTCATCACCTGCTGTGCTGGCCGTAGAAAGAGGAGCCACACCACTCACCGCGGCAAGGCTGACTACTAAGAAGGAACTCCTGTTCCCTCTCTATACGACTGCAACAACCAAAAAAAAAAAAAAAAAAAAAAAACGAAAACCCCTGCTTGGGGTCTTTTCAGCAATCCTTATGGTAGCGATTTCATACTTGTCATAAAGAAAGAGACACAAAGAGAAAAGAATGAAGATATGTATGCGGGTGGGGAAGAACATACAGTAATGAAATGCTTTGGTACTTGTTTTGCGCGCGAAAGGGGGGATGATTTTGATCATGATACCACGACAGGGGCACGTTGGTGTGGGGGTTTGATCGTGCTGGGACCTGAATGACTGTCTATTTTATATACCTAGTGCTTAATATTCTAACGTCCAATCCTTTTTATGATGAATTTAAATATTAGTGGATTAATTCTGCAACACATATATATCTTCTATATATCAGCGCAACGTTTGTCCAACTATTGATCATCCTTCGTTCGTGTTATAAATTGTCTTGTAGGCACAGAAAAGCCCGTTCGTAACGCAGCTGTCGCAAGGGTTGATGCCGTCGCACTTGATCTTTTTCCATAAACAGAAGTTGCAGGTTCTCTCTCGGAGGAAATTTTTCACAAGAGGAGGCAGCGCTAGTGGAGGAGAAGCAGTCAGGTTCAAACCATAAGGAAATATAACAGAAGGGTATGGTATCTTGTTTGCGGGAGTGGAATCTGGCAGTGTAGACGGAAAGCCTGCAGCTTTTAAAGGCGGCGTTGGAGGTAGAGGTGGAGGTGGAGGTGGAGGTGGAGGACGAGGGCCTTCGACTTTTAGATGGGGGGGAATTGGAAGTGGGAGGCCGTTTTGATATCTGGTTTTAAGCCGCTGCTGTTCTGCTGCTTGAATCCGCGCCGGTTTCTGTGGTGGTTGGGGAGTGGTGTCTCGAGGATCTCGAGGATCTCTATAATCTAGAGGATCTCTATAGTAGTAGAGGGCATTGCGTCCTTGGCTGGACATTCGCGGCTGTGAAGCCGAGTCGTGAAGTGGCAAAGGAGGCAGTGGAGGATGCTGGCGGTAGGGAGAAGTATCTTGGGAAGTACTCGACGAGGGCGAGTTCTGGATGGTGTTGAGGCGCTGGCTATTCGCGGCACTGATGCGTTGATTGAAGACGTCGCTAGATTCAGCCGTCGACAGGTTCGTCTGTGGCGATGAATTGGTCGTAAGACTTGGGTTATAAAACTCGTTAAACAATTTGAACGCATCGTCGTGAGACGACTCATCGTTGAACAAGTCGTAGGCGTTGGACGATGTGTTGGTGGTAAACAAGTCATCCTCATGATTCAATTCATCGTCGTTAAACAACTTGAATTCATCGTTTAAACTCCCATTGTCGGTAGTCCATCCGGTCTTATCCTCGTAAAACTCATCGTCGTACACGTCAGTCATCGTGCGGTCGAGTTTGGGGACGATTTCACTGCCGTAATGTGTGAGCGTAATTGATGGGCCCTGTTCGCTAGCTGGCTGATTGTTATTGTTGAGAGGTCGGCGCCCATCTTCATCTTGCCTGCTTTTCTGCGCAGCGATGGCCGTCTGGTGTAGCCCATCACTTTCTCGCTGCCGCCTCTCTTTCCGCATTAGTTCCATTTGGTAATCCTGAATACTCGGATCGATAAAGTGTTTTGGGGCCGCGTCGTACGATGCCATCTGCGGGGCCATCTGGGAGAACTGAGCCTCAATAGGAGAAATAGGAGGAATAGGAGGAGGCGGAAGAGGATTCGCTTGGGCCTTGTGGGTGTTTGCTTGAGGGGGAATGTCCGCAGGTCGAGCACCGGGGGAATCGTTTAGTAGTGAGGCTATGTTGGACTTCGTACCGATGTTCTTTTGTTTCAGCATATCTGCATTCCTGCGCTGTGAACCATTTGTATAACGCTTTGTTGCGGTCTGTGATAGGGGCTCGAGGGACTTGCAGTCTTTACAAGAATGAGGGAAATCCACCTGAAGCGCCTCCTCCGGGTTCTCAGGATAGTAGCAATCTATGTGTTGCCACGTGTCGCAATTCTCGCAGTGGATTGTGTTTCCCTCGACTCCAGACCAAGAACAGATACACTTGATTGTGTACACGTAGGGCTCATCTTCTGGCGCCTCGATCATGTGGGTGACATTGTCGCGGCCGGACGGGTTCACGAGCGCAGGACGTTTCCTGATCGAGCTTCGTTTCAGTCGTTGATCAGGACTGGTATGGTGCTCTGCCACATGATTCTTCAGTAACCTTGCCGAGGTGAACACCGGATATTGACAGCCCTGAACGCGGCAAATGTGCTTTGAATGTTCCGCTTCATGGCGAGTGAGGCTGTCAATGTTATTGAAGCCCAGAGCAGCATGTGGACATGACCAGAGTCGACAGGTAAACGCTGAAGTTCGAAAGTTTTGTTTGAATTGTTCAAGCTGCTGAAAGGAGACACCGGGATAAGTCGAGTAATTTAGTAGCTTTTGAATCGTTTCTTGATACCTCTTCTTTAAAGTAATGACATCGCTTGCCGTATCATCGTGCTGTATACATGCAGTGTCATCTATACTCACGTATGATATCGTTAGCTATGAGCTTAAGAAAAATCAGGTATAACGGGAAGCTATACCATGGATTGAAACCACTTCTAATGCCTCTTTGTTTTGTTCTAGGAGCACCACCTTGACCATTTTGTACAAGCGGTAATCCTTCTGTCGAATCAGAGCAAGCCGTGGGTCTGATAGGCTACTATCCGTGGCTTCGCAATCAGGTTTTGAACCCGTGAAGCTTTTTGCCAGACGACAAGATAATGCAAAGAAATCGGAATCGAAAAACTGAGCTTGGCCAAACTCAAGAGATGCTAAGAGGTAGTCGGTCCAGAACTCGGTAGCGTACATGTGGAAGCCGTGAAGTCCACGGAGAACTCTCAAGATTCTTTCAGAGTCTGAGTATGAGGTAGCAAAGAGTTGCTGACCAGACAATAGACAACGAATGGTAGCTAGCCCATGTCGCCTTTGCGACTCGATGTCCGTGACTAAGAGTGCTGTATCAGAGCTCTGGAGAAAGCTTTCATACGTTAGCCTGATGTTCCCAGGCTCAGTGTGGACGGACATACTCCCTAACTGACACATGGACAAACGAATAAGAAGAGTCGGCCTGCTTCTGGATAAGAGGCTCGCACCTATCGAGAATATACGCCGGCACTAGCTCGTCAACTTGCTCTTGGTTCGTATCAAATGCTAAAGCAGACAAAAGCTCTGCTAAGCGGAGCGGCCGTTTTGCAAATGCAATCCAGCTTAGGACGGCGCTGATTCGTTGAGCAGATCTCTCATCAAAATTGGCCATAATCTGCGATAACATCCGACCGTAGCTATATAATTTTGGTGTTAGGCGAAGTATCTATGAGAGGAGACCATTGCTGGATATCTTGTATTCCGTTCACTCACAATTCGCCGAGTTCCCGAGGAAGACTAATCGCTGCCTTCAAAATCTCATCGCGGTGGTAAAAAAGATTCTTATTTATGTACTCCATGACGAGTTTTGCCCAGAGAAACATGCCTGACGCCAATAAGTATTAGCTTAAGTAGGTAATAGTTCTGGTAGATGAGGACTTGCCATCTGCTTTCTGAGTGATTTGAGACGCCAGCGCAGTCACATCGTCATCAGTGATACCTAATTGAGAGAAACTTGGTCGAATAGCGTTTATCCTCTGCAAGGTATAATCTTGGATGGCCTTGTTTAGATGACTTCTCTCGCTTGATAATGATACCTGGTGTTTCTTCTTGACGAATTTGATTACCTCAGGCCTCATTTGAGTGCACAATAGTACTTTAAGAAGAGTTGCGGTAGAAGATGAGGCAGAAGCAACCAGCTTGTCGAGTGTTTTTACAACACTCGCTACCGTACTATCATCGCATTCATCTAGCCCGTCAACAATAATGTGAAGGGTCTTTTGCTTTTCTGGCAAGGCGCCCATGGCCTCGACTAAGAAGCGTAGAAGTTGTTCAACAACTGTGTTGCTTGGGGCTTTCTTCTTCAAGATCAACCAGTCATACGACAGAGTAATGAGTTCAGGATCCAGACGAATGATTTGTATCATCAAAGACCGCATTATGGAGTTGTAGTCTGTCGATTCGGGGTAAAGGTATGTGCAGAAATGCGCTGCTACCAAAGATTGCTCTGAAGCACGGAGAAAAGTCGCGATTTGTGCTGCCAAGACACTTTTACCACTCCCGACGAAGCCATGGAGCACAACGAATTGAGTATCGCGTTCGCATCTTGCCCACGATCGAATCTTTGATTGCTGGAGTATCCAACTGCAGGATCCGGGGTTTCGGTTTGCTTCAGAGATGAGATTATCAAATACTTTGATCTGGTGAGTCTCGTCGACTTTCAAGACACTCAGGACGGCTCGAAATTCGGTGCTTGTACGCTCCTCCTCTTCCTTTTTTAATTTGGCCATTTCTTGCTGTCTCCAGTCCTCTAATTTCTCTCTCATCTCCTTTGCCTCCGATACGTTAGCCGCATTAACTGTTTTATCAACGAGGTCCTCATGTGCTTTTAAATCGGCAAATATGTTGTCGAACCGTCGTTGGAACCGTCCCCAGGAAGTAGCAAAGAGGCGCTGCCATGCTAAGCATCACCAAATATTAGCTGAGGTTTATACTCCATCAAGATGTAAATGAGCCTGACCATTTCGCCGGACAAACTTATAGACTTCTCCGTGAAACTTGAGAATATCGGAGTAATACACTGCCAATGTGTTTTGGACCTCCATGTTGTTTGAGAACGAACGATCAAATAACCTGAATCGAGCCAAGGGCTCAGCTAGCCTGCTATAAACCTTGATGATCTGCTCGAAAGCTTCGATGTAATCGGCCGATATCTAGATGCGACATTTGACTCATCAGTGCCTGCGTGATCACTCACATCTCATCGCCCTGCATACCTTCAACACAAGCTTAATGGGCGCCCACAACCAAGGCATATACGGCGTTCCATTGCATAAAACCTCGATTGCTTGTGAGTAGTACCCCAAGCCGGTGAACAAAGGTGACAATCTTCGCATGTTACGCAGCGACTGACTTGCAGAAAGCTGCTTTTCGACTTGGAGAGCAGCCTGTTGAACATCTTCAAGCGATAAATGTTTTAGCTGCGCTCGATCGGAAACGGTGATGGTTCTTTCGAGCTCCATGAATGCCTCTCGCATCATGCGCTGCGCCTGAAGAGAGGCTCTCTTGCTTAACGGCATCTTTATCCATATAGGACTGTTGTTGGCCCGCTCCAATCGTTCGTAACGCGAATACCAGGATGGTCCTCCGTGTATGGCTTATAGAGACTCGGATTTTATGACAAACCTAGCGACTGTAGTAGCAGTTACTATAAACATATAAATATAGTAGCAATTAATAGAGAAGTATAGATATAGTAGTAGTTAAAAAATGTAAATGTAGTAGTGAATATTAATAAGGGTATAGTTGATAGTAGCAGGTATTAGAAATTAGGCGTATAAGTTGACGCGAGGGTGTTTAAAACCTTCTCGGTCTTGGGTTTTCTGTCCTCCGCTTGCTAATATGTAAGAAGAAACAAAGTGGCAGAAAAGAGAGAAATAACTGACTCTCGAATCCTGATCATGGCAGGTTTCTATTGCATGTTCCCTCTCGTGAAACGCGGCGGCTGAAACAAGGCTGTGCAAATTCCATTGGCTGTCAACCACCCACGTCGCGACAAGGCTTTTCGCTGGGCGCAAAACAGAACATGGTCAATATATGCATACGGATATGGATCCCGTTTTCTTGAATTGAGATCTAATCCCGCGGCAACTTGATCGCTTTATGCTATAACTCGGCTGTGTATTCGAATGACACAATCAGCATGGAATGTGATCCGGACTATTCTCGCGGATCAAAGCGACGGCGACCCAGCTTCTTCGGGAATGACGATGCCAATGAACCTGAACCAAAAAGAATTACGATTTCTGAAATACTGAATCTAGCGGTTGACGAGGAGCGCCTTGTCCAGACAACACACGCTACACATGAATCAAGATGTCTTCATACGGCTGCCGACTATGTCGATTCCAATCAAACCAGCTCCTTTAACCCTGAAAAGCAGTATATATGCTTTGGTACCGTGCGCAATTTCCCGCTTCTCTGCTAAATAGCGCGTTTAACGTGAAGGATTTCAGATAACCGATATAAGCGGAACATGTCAGTTTATGCGAGCCTCACGGGCCCAAGTATTCACAATTCAATTAGACGACTCTCAGACGTTCCGCTGCATCGACGATGTCTCCATAAAGGGCCAAATAGACCCAGGATTTACATACATAACAGATGCTTTGCTTGATGAGAAAGAGCTTGAACTGGAAATCACATGCTCTATAATAGACGCAACGCAATCATCAAAGACAAAATTCACTACGTCTTTGTCCACGCCATGTCGGCTAAAAGTGACTCTATTTGGACCTGACTCTCTTTTTGAAGAAGTAGGAAGCTTTTTTGAGGATCATAATCTCTATCTTCAAGATCCAGTCAACTGCTCTCGGAACGTTTTGTACCGAAACCCACACAAACTATCTGTTTGCTGTGGCCCAGACCTATGGACCTCGGATTTAGACAGAGAACATTCAAACTTCGTGATGATCGAAACTACACAGCCGCGGCCCGAGTTGATTGACGTATTAAATTCTCAAGAAGATCTAGTGGAAACGAAACAGCCTGGCTCTATTCGATCAACAATGAAAAGGTAACGAAACAGCCTCATTATTATGTGTTTTCTGATGCCTTTTCAGCCATGCTAATAACATCTTTCTAACAGACATCAACTGCAAGCGCTGACATTTATGCTCCAAAGAGAGCAAGGTTGGGCCTGGGATGGCAGCAGAGCAGACCTTTGGGAATTCGTTTCTGAGAGCACTGGCTCTTAGTAAGTCACCACTGACGACATGATGCATGTAATTGCATATAATGACCTTTCACTGAATCATGCGTAGCTTTGTCAACAGGGTCTCCGACGCAGTTCAAACAGAGCCGCCGCAGCAATTTTATGGTGGGATTATCGCAGACTCTATGGGCTTAGGCAAGACATTATCCATGATTTCTCTAGTAGCATCCGATCTACTCGTGGATAGAAACGATCCAATCTCAATCACTGGGGCCAATGCTGAAGAATCTTCTGGTCGAACATTGATCGTCGTACCACCCCCTCGTGAGTTTGAATGCTAGCAGTCTGCTCGCTCTCAATTTCTTGCAAAGGCTAAATGCTCCGAAAAAACATAGTTCTTGATTCTTGGGAAGAACAGCTGAAACAGTGAGGCATATATAATATTGTTGAAGACATAAGTTAATAAGAGACTAACTGGAGCCTTCAGACATGTCTTCCCCAACAGTATTCCTTGGCGCCGGCATCATGGAAAATCTCGCGTAACAAACGATTCTGATCTTGAAGAATCCTTAGTGGTATTGACAACTTATCACACGGTATCTTCGGAGTGGAAAGGCAGCTCAGATCAGCAGCCGTCCTTCTTATTTAACACACGGTGGAGGCGAATCATCTTGGATGAGGGTTTGTCACACGCACTTTATATGAGTAAGAGTATATGCTGACAATCACCAGCTCATTTCATCCGAAATAGCGATTCTCGAATGGCTCGTGCCATATGTTCGATGAACTCGGTTTCTCGATGGGCTGTAACAGGCACGCCCATCCAGAACAGACTCGGTGATCTCACAGCACTCCTCAAGTTTCTCCAAGTCTATCCTTATTCGGAAGAACATAAATTCAACACAGATATCTCTCATTTGTGGAAAATCGGCAAGATAGATGAGGCAGTAAAACGCCTGAAGCGCCTCGCGGGTTGTATCCTTCTGCGTCGCCCCAAGACTGTTATTCAGTTACCACCAAGACATGACTTCCAACACTTTGTGGAGCTGGCCCAAGCAGAAAGAGATCTATACCAGGCATTCAAAATGCGCACTCTATCTCACATTGAGCAAGCCCTCTCTGCAGGTGGCGGGATTGGGAGGACACACTCTTATGCCAATATGCTACAAAGAATCGAAGCAATGCGCATGGTTTGCAATCTTGGTTTGTATTATAAGATGCGATATGATCTCGAGACATATAACGAGCAGACGTCCCAAAACTGGACAGCAGTTGCGCAACAGATGTTCAACATACGACGTGGAATTAGCAGCATTCAATGTCGTCTATGTTATTGCCCAGCTGATTCAACAGAGAACACGTTCTATGAAGCTGGGCCATCAGCAATGTCAACGTTCTCTCAATGCTTGGAATTTGTTTGTCCCACATGCGTATCAACTCGCCCACATCCTGTGGTCTTCAAATCCTGTTCTCATGAGACCATCTGTCCTTTCGCAAACATATCGACCGATATATTCGAGACGGATGATATGCCTAGCCTCACGATGAACCAGTTATCTGATGGATTACCAACGAAGATATCCATGCTAATCAGTGATCTCCAAAATCAACCTCATGATGTCAAATGGTGTGATATCTCAGACCGTCTTCAGACTGGAATACATGTATTTTCGGCTGGCTGATATACGGAACAGTGTCGTTTTCTCTTCCTGGCGAACTACCCTCGAAATTATCGAGGTTGGACTCAAGCACGCATGCATACCCTGTCTACGATTCGACGGCAAAGTGGCACAGAAAGACAGGCATGCCGTAATCGAGCGGTTTCGCAAAGACCCAACGATTCGCGTGCTCCTGGTGACACTATCGTGCGGCGCGGTTGGGTAAGCGCAAGAGGCGTCATCATTCAGACATTCCAGCTCATTCTAATTCGCTTCTTTTGACAGTCTTACATTGACGGAGGCCTCCAGGGCCTATCTTATGGAACCTCACTGGTAAGCCGCTCCATACGTAGGCATGATAGTGAGGAACTCTCGTTGACATGCTCGTTCTTTACAGGAATCCAACGCTTGAAGACCAGGCGCTGGCTCGAATTCACCGTATCGGACAGACGAAAGAAGTAAACACTATTCGATTCATTGTGCGGGACTCATTTGAGGAGGCATGTAATCTAACAACAAATACAGAGTACATTTTGATGAATTCACTAACGTCATGTTAATGCAGAGGGTCGTAGAACTACAAAAATCCAAGACGGATTTGGCCGAGGTAATACACCGTCAGAATGAGGGCAACCAACAAGATGGAACCCAACGGCCGCTAGAGGTTCGTATAACAGCATCATGAATTCTTTGAATTTCCAACTAACTCAATCTAGTGGCTAAAGGCGCTTATATAAATTCTACCAAGCAAGGAAAATCCGCTCGATGAACCAAGTTGATATCAGCGTACATGTATGTAGTTCGGCGTAATAGAAACTCAAAACCTCAGATCTAGATCGCCATAACGCCCACATATATCAGTTGCAATACTATAGATCAGATGCATTTAACCAGTCTCCGCTCCCCCAACCAGCCACATGTTTATGCAACATCCAGCAGGTATGATACCATTAAGCTTATCTTCACGGCTCCTCCGGATGCGCAGCATCATACAGGGGTTGCTTTCGAAACATGACACAGCCTCGATCCAATATCCGCAAATCGTAGCCATGGACAGAACACGAAGTCCATGTATAAGCCGAAACGCATTACCAAGCGGCGGAGATGAGTCTCTGGAATCTTCGGGCCGTAGATCGAGGGACCCCCGCGAATTGCGCCGTTATGAGCTCCGTGTACTGACCGTTTCCCGGGGGTTTTTTTTTTTGACGTTTTAAACATCAACCTTGTTTTATATCGCTCTCTATATGTCCCTGAATTATACGAAATAGAATTTTGCTCTCTATCCAATACGAAGTTTCGGAGAGATGCCACGTGGGATGGTCCGTATTCGTCCATATTACTCAAGCCTCATGACAAGCCCAGTTACACAGTGGCTGTAAATCACTATTCTCTCTCGGCCGAATACGTAGACTGAGCGTATGCATATAATTTCTCTTATGATATCAATAAGTATAGAATAACCTTATACTGGATGGCATCAAAGACACTCAGTTCACCAAAATGATCACATATAGCAATTCAAGACAGCAGCATTGCAAAACCACGATATTATTCACCCTATCTAGATTAGAAAAAAAAGATAGCAACCTAAACTCTCTCTCCCTTTTCCTTTTCCTTTCCCATTACCGTCTTTTCCCAGCAGAAAATCCCACCATTACTCCATTAGAAAAAAAACGAAACAAGTAAGAAAATATCACTCAGTCCTAGCCAGCAAATTAGATGGCCAAGACGCAAGCAGCAACGAAAACAGCCACGGCCCCCATGACAGGAGCAGCCGCGTTCGCAGCACCGCCAGAAGTCGGCGGCACCACGGTAGGGCGCGGCGAGCGGGAGCTAGTAGATGTCTCGTTGGTCGAGTTTTCACCTCTCTTGTAGTACGTGGCCATGGGCGGGGCCGAGGTCGCCTCAACACTGACATCAAAGTTACCAACGGTGATGGTGGTAGTGGCGGTCATAGTGAAAGTGGCAGTCATAGCGTCAGGCTGGTCTGTGACAGTGATAGTGGTAGTGACACCAGGATCAGTGACAGTGGTAGTGACACCAGGATCGGTGACGGTAACTGTGGTACCAGGATCGGTGACTGTGACAGTGTCACCAGGCTCAGTGACTGTGACAGTGTCACCAGGTTGAGTGACTGTGACTGTGATAGGATCCTGGGTACTTGTGATAGTGACAGTGGTAGTGGCATCAGGACCATCTGTATCCGTGACAGTGGCAGTGGTAGTGACAGTGGTGGTGACACCAGGATCAGTGACAGTGGCACCGCCATCAGTAACGGTGACAGTGACAGGATCTTCTGTATCCGTGACAGTGGCAGTGACAGTGGCAGTGGTAGTGGCACCAGGATCGGTGATAGTAGCACCACCATCCGTGACGGTGACGGTGGTAGTAGCAGTGGTAGTAGAATCCTCTGTATCAGTGACTGTGACAGTAGTAGTGACAGCAGGATCAGTAATAGTAGCACCACCATCAGTAACAGTGACAGTAATAGGATCCTGTTGATCTGTAACAGTGGCAGTGGTAGTGGTAGTAACAGGATCCTGGGGATCAGTAACAGTAACTGTGGTAGTAGCAGCAGGATCGGTGATAGTAGCACCGCCATCAGTAACAGTGACAGTAATAGGGTCCTGTTGATCCGTAACGGTAGCAGTGGTGGTGGTGGTGGTGGTGGCGCCAGGATCGGTGATAGTAGCACCGCCATCAGTAACAGTGACAGTAATAGGGTCCTGTTGATCCGTAACGGTAGCAGTAGTGGTGGTGGTGGCGCCAGGATCGGTGATTGTGGCACCACCATCAGTAACAGTGACAGTAACAGGATCCTGTTGATCCGTGACAGTGGCAGTGGTAGTGGTAGTAACAGGATCCTGGGGATCGGTAACAGTGACTGTGGTGGTAGCAGCGGGATCGGTGATAGTGGCACCGCCATCAGTCACGGTGACAGTAACAGGATCCTGGGGATCCGTGACAGTAGCAGTAGAAGTGGTAGTGGTAGTGACAGGATCCTGGGGATCGGTAACAGTGACAGTAGTGGTAGCAGCAGGATCGGTGATAGTAGCACCACCATCAGTGACAGTAACAGTGGTAGTAGAATCCTCTGTATCTGTGACTGTGACTGTGGTAGTGGCAGCAGGATCAGTGATAGTGGCACCGCCATCGGTGACAGTAACGGTGGCAGTAGCTGTGGCAGTAGCAGTGGCAGTAGCAGTGGCAGTGGTGGTGGAACCAGGATTGGTGATAGTAGCACCACCATCAGTGACAGTGACAGTGACTGTTGCGAGGCTGTCTTCAAGGACTCTCAAGCGGCTGATGATATTATTAAAGAAGCCAGCAATGGGATTTGCCGCCAGCACAGTCGGGGCAGGAGCAGCAGGAGCAGCCCGTCGTTCGCTGTCCCGGTCCTCGTCCTGGTCTTCCTGGTCATCATTCGACCAAGTCGACGTCCTTGCGTGGGAAGACCATTCGCCAGAAGACCATTGGGCTCCCTTGAAAGAGGGCGCAGCGGTCACAGCAGCAGTAGAAATCCATTCTTTGTTGTCGTCGTCTTCATCGTGGTCGTGTTCCTGATCGTGGCTATCTTCCTGATCGCGGTCATTCTCCTGGTCGTGGTCATTTTCCTGGTCATGTTCCTGGTCTTGGTCGTCATGGCTCCAAGTCGACGTCCACACGTGGGAAGTCCACTCGCCAGAAGACCATTGGCGTGCCTCGACTACGGGGCCCGCAGTCGGCGCAGGAGACACAACAGCCTCAGAAAACTTGATGGTACGCGACCCCTGGGCGAGGGGGGCGGTGGCAGCGAGGGCCAAGATGATTGCACGGAAACCGTACATGATGCGGGGGGTTGCGTGAAAGTGGATTGTATAAAGAGCTGAGGAGAGCGAGGATGGGATGAAGAGGAAGAGAAGAGACAACTTCATCGGGGGAGAGATTCGCTCAATTTATAACCGCGTCCGACAACATCATGACCATCAACGCGAACATAATCAACATAATCAACATATCCAACATATCCTCCACTTGCTCAGACACAACAACCCCGCGAGGGGAATGATAAGAGTAAGGCCGGGCTATGGGACGAGTCGCGCCGTTGGTGTCTGCCACAGTATCAGCCATACAACCTTAACGGGGAAATCACCTCATAGAATGCGAACTGGTACCACCCCCAACAGCAACTCGGTATACGCAAGTCTCCAGATCCAATTGATGTCCTTGAAAACTATCGCTGATAAACACAAAAACCTTATCTTCGGCTGGAATCATAGAACGAATATGCCCGCTATGTTGTGTAGGATACCCATTTGCCCCGCTGCTCCTAACCTCCCACCCTTTTCGTTTTTTTTCTTTTTTATATCTTCCATTTTCGTCTTTCGTAGTTGTGCTATACTTTCTGTTGCCTAAGCTCGTGTTTATTTGAACCCCAAAACGCCGTTGTGCAGCCCGAAGGAACCATCACTCTTCTTCTGGAATGTCTGAAAAGAAGCTGAATCGCATTCGGTGGCTCTGGTAGAGGGCATTAGCTACTGTCACGCGCGAGGCTCGTGGGATGTAATATCTAGGTAAGGGATTTGCTCACAAATGGTAGCTTGGGAATGACAACAGCCAGCGTAGCGAGGAAGTTAATGACAAAGTATGTTGAGTCGTAGTGGGTGTAATGTGTGCTGAGTAAAAATAGCACAATAGGGACACTGAGGAGAAACTTCTTGGTCGGCGTGTACTGGGCTCCGTTGTCGATCTGCTCCCACATGTTGAGGTTGTCGAAAGCTCCGCCGTTGAAGTCAAAGGGAATGCCTCGAACGTAGTGGAACATGATGTAGGAGCCAACCATGTATGTCATGTTGGTCAGCGTCCACGACGCCTCCTGGGAACTGCCCGGGATAACATCGTAGAGGATCTTGAGACAGGCGATGATGACGATGTGGATAGTCCAGGCCCCTTTTTTCGCGGCCATCCGGGTCAGCAAACGCAGCCAAAAAAGGGCCTTCTCAGGGGCCAGGCACGTGGATGGAAAAGCATACCTTTTGCGTTTGTCCAGTTGGCGTTCATGTTCGGTATAACAGCCTGATCGCTCATCTGCTCAAGCGTCTCGGGGGGCTCGTGGTAGACCTGGAGGATGCTGCTAGACCTCCTCCGGCGGCCACCAGCGCTTCGGTCGGTCATGTCGAGGAATCGGCTGCTGGCGGGTTTTGCGCCTGCGTCGTAAGTCTGTGAGGATGCGGGAAGACAAGTTGACGGCATTGTCGGTCTGGATGCTTTTGTCTGCTCCCGAGGCCGCGAATGCTCCTTCAGTCTCTCGCAAGGCAACGCGCAAGTCGGAGGCCAAACGCTAAATCGGGGCGCCGGGCAGTTCTTGGCGGCACACGCTGCTAACGGGGCGATGAAGGTACTGAGTAACTCCGTCGGCCGGTAGAATGTGAGGAGCGGTGGATGCGGGCGGCGGGCACAAGCGAGAGAACAAGCTTTTATGCAACTAAAGGGGCGCAACTGGGCACAGCCACCTGAGGCTCAGGAACAAGCGTTCTTCGGTCTGGGAGTTGGTTATCTGGCTTCATCAAGTGGCCGAGTGGGGGTGGATTTTGGAAGAATGAATGCGAATACGAAAACCTACCTTTGATGTTTCGTTTCTCTTCTTTCTTTATTTCTCTCTCTCTCTCTCTCTCTCTTTGCAAATAAAACACTCCCCGATGATGCTGCAGTCACGCGATTCACTTTGGCCACGAATGTTTATTCACGCAAGGTTTTGCTCAATTCTTGTTTTTTCTCGGCGGCTTTTCAGATAAGGTACGAGTGGCGGTATGGAGTGGGATGGGGTGAGTTGGCGCATTACGCGCATTATATGGTGGGCAGAGGGGCGCCGAGGACGCTGTCGCAATTGCTGGATACGACTCGCTACTCCCGTCTCAAACTCGCTTAAGAGAGTGTCCTGAGGAACTTGGAGCTTCTGAGCGGTGGTCCGGACAGGCTGACGACGGCTTTGCTGGGATCAGTATCAGTCTGTGGAAGCTGTGGAGACACCCTGGAAAGGGGCGCCGCGGTACCTGCAGGAACAGGAGATACGGCCCGACAGCAAATTGAAGCCTCCGTGGTGCTAATGCATGCTAGGTGATCAACGTAGACGTCTACTATATGATGGTGGGCAGGCGAGCACCAAAGCGTAGAGCTGTAGAGGCTAAGGCGAAAATGCCTCTGGACAGCAACCAACAACGACTTGTACAAGTGCTCAACACCAAGAGAGCGAGAGAGGGGTTTGGTCCCTGATATCACATGCTCGGACTGGGGATTTGCTTGGACATCCAAACATCATTACACGATCCATGTCCTTTGATACAGCACCCTTGGATGGCATCCCCCCTACCCAGCTAATACTAACGTCTACACGTGCCAATCTAGCCGCTATCCGGGTGATCTGAAAAATACCCTCTTAGTGCAGCTGCTTTATTAAACCACGGCCAAGACACTGTGGCTGTATCGTGTCCCACCTACCCCGTAATATCTATATCTTAATAACAGGCCAAGGGGACGCAAGGAGACGAGCCCGTATCCTTGGCTTCTAGAAGGCTGCTTCATCAATCTCGGCGACAGGGGCTGTCCGTGATTACTACTAGTACGAGTAGTGGCAGCGAATGATCCAAACACTGCCTCGACCAGTGAGATCACCTGGACTGTCTAATAACAATGCTGCCCGCCAATGCCTGCTGGTCTGGGAAGATCCAACCTTCTTTTAGACGGTGCCATCTCCTGCCTGCTTCGAGGTCCCTGATTAATTATGCTGGGCGCCACGTGCATCCATTGCTTTTATCTATTTTAGGGAGCTTCATTTCGAAATCTGCAAGCCTGTGCTTGTGCAAGCCGCAAGGACGTGATTCCAGACCTGCTCGCGTATCTCATCTAGAAAACAGATAATCTTTACTGTAGGTTGTTGCGGTACTACGGGAACGCACCTCAGGAAAGGGCACATACCTGTCACATGCAATATTTTTGCTCAACCACCATCATGGGCAACCTCTCCAGAAAAGAAACAAGACACTGTCACATACGGGGCACCTTCTTACAGCCAGAAGCTGCGATTGGTCCCAGAGACCAATTACCGCTGCGTATAATCAATTGTTCACTTTGCCTGGTAAATCCAGTGCTATATGCTGCGTGCCTTTAATATGACCACCTCCGTCGAGGGGCTAAACTTCGGAAGTGGAGTTCTCGCCTGCGCCAGGTTCCCAATTTGATTCGTCGCGTACTTTTTTCCTTGTGATAACGCATCGCCCAAAAAAGAGTCGTGCTTCTTCAATCTCATCTTGAAGATCACGACTCTTCACCGCAACAACTGCGATTCTACACATTTCGAATTTAATTCGACCAACAACAGGTCGTTCATTGTCAAGTGCCGTGCCGAGTGCGCGCGGATGATACAGGCAGGGCCTCAAGTTGCCCATCACCCGCGCCACTCGCGCCTGGGCTTCTCAGAAGACACGAGGGTTCACACACAGCGAATTGCTTCCAGCTTCCATTTGCTAGTCAACGGATAGTCCTTTCTGAAAGGCTGCTTCATTGGCTTTCAAATGGAGGAAAAGAGTTCAAGTGCTCCTATAGAGCTTGCCGAGCCCCTGTCTAGCCTAGTCCCATCAAACGCCATGGCCACAGATCAATCAAACCCAGGAGACTTCATAAGCTTAAGTAGCGATGACGAACCCCCTTTGGCCAAGAAAAGGAAGTCCCCAGAAAATGACATCTCCAATATTGCTGGACTGGATGCCCCTGCAGAGCGCTCTAAGCGTGCCAGAGTAAGCTCTGCCTCTGCTAGCAGCACAGGCGCAAAAGTATCAGAGGAGGGAGAGATTGACGAGGATGAGGGCTCTGAGGGCGAGATCCGTACCCCTAGTACAGGCGGCGATGGGAAGAAGTCAAGAGGCTTTGCGTCAAGCGGCGCCTTTGTGCCCAAATCCCCTCCGGTTTACACCAGTGATTCGATATCTCTTCAATTGCCCGTGTTTTCTCAGCAAAGGGAGGGAACCTGGCTTGCAAGATTCGAGGAGTGGGCACAACTTCTCTGCACGGCCAACGCAACGAGTTTCGCCAAGCTGACACCAAAGGTGATCCAAGATGCCTACAAGCAATACATTGATACTCACAGTAGGCTGAAGGCCAATAAGAAGCGCGCTGCGAGGCAGGCGGCCGAACAATACAAGGATACATCTCTGGCAGACTTGATAAAGTCTCTCCAGCCACGCCAGAGTAATGTTGCACAGCTCCCAGCGGTGCTGCCTGAAGCTTTGGGCGAACTCAAAACTCAGAGCGACGCCTCCAGCCAATTGCCAGCCCGGGCTCAGGTCAGCCATAAGAGCGAAAACCTCGACCCTGCTGTGCCACTTCCTCCCAAATCTTTGACAACACAAACTGATGGTTACTTTGTCATTGACGTGAAGCCGCAGCCTCTCCAGACAGCAAACTCGCGCGAACCTCGACCAATGTCACAGCTAGCACCTCAACCTGCTGCCAAAACCGCCATGTCGCAGCGGCCAGGCCTGCTTTCGGGGGAAGATGCCCTGGAGCAACAGCGCCGGTATTTCCCTTCAGCCAGCGATCCGTCCAACATGTGCTTGCTTTGCGGACGAGAGGGCCATACCGCAGACGGCTGCACAAACTGCGCGTGCAAACGTTGCGGACAAGACGACCATTGGCAATATGCTTGCCCATCTCTGGACCTCAAGTGCGACAAATGCGATATTCGTGGCCACTCAGCCGCTGGTTGCGCAACAGTCAGAGAGGAGAGAGGATACGTGTTCAAGTGCAGTTTGTGCCATTCAACTGCGCATACGGACGAGCGGTGCACGCAGCCATGGCGGTCATTTCACCCTGAAGCAGAGACGATCAAGACGGTTACTGCTCTGCCGGTGTCGTGCGCCTCATGCGGAAGCAGCCAACATTTCTCTGCGAACTGCATCACGGATAGAGTGGCCATGGATCCCACCTTTCCTACCAATCCTACTTTTAGCATGTACAACATGAGTCGCTATATAGACGCAGCGAGTACGTCATTTGCAATCATCGGTGCCGATGAACTCGCACCGAAGCAACAGCCAGGAGACCTCAAGATCCGTGGCCACGCCTCGCGTTCCAACCAAGTCCGCTACTACTCGGATAGCGATGACTCGGATGATGTGCAATTCCTGGGCCAACGAGCCGTTCCCAAGCCTGTCCGGACGGGTCGTATTAGGGTATCGACCAGTCTTCAACCGCCCAACGGAGATCAACAGCCTCCTCTGCCCCCTGGTCCACCACCTTCTGATCCACCTCCGCCGCCTCCCAATCGCGCACCAAGACACGGCTACTCGCAAACACCGGCTGGGCCAACGTCGCTCCCTGCTAGGCCGCCAGTTCCATCGCGGGACTACAGAAGCGTACCGCCGCCTCCCTCCCAACCTGCACAAGAATCTCGCCAACAGTCTGGACGAGGAGGTCGAGGTGGTGGCCGAGGTGGTGGCCGAGGAGGCAGGGGAGGAGGCCCAGGAGGAAACAGAGGCTACAGAGGAGGAAAATTCAGAGGCGGCAGGGGTCGAGGCGGTTGAACTGCGAATCGTGGTGGAATTTGGGGACGTACAGACACGGAGAGGGCTATGGGACGTCGAATGGAGCAAGCACGCGTTGGGCGATCTGATACACAGCCCTTTACCCTCTGATCTGCAGTGTCAAAGGCAAGGTACTTTGATACCCCCTTGTACTATGGTTTCTCAATTTTGGAGCAAGGATTCGACGAGAAATGATGGCGCTGGCTCATTGCAACCCGAAAGGCTTCCTAATGGAGGAAGAAGGTCGGATATGGAGGCTATGCGCTGAACTCTAAATCTGATGGATTGGGAAAGGGGACAAGAAGTATCCCCCAGAGGTGCATACCTGTGGACGACATATTGGCATGCAAGTCTCAGCTGCAAGTCTCAGTGTGCCTGCATTTGAAGAGTGGTGGTGGCTCGTGAAGTTTGAGCCGATATAACGTGCATTTTGTTGGGCAGAATAGATTCATCTAGAGGACAATAGCTGGTACCACGGAAGCTCCAGCTGGTATTCCCGTAGATAGTGTAACACTAAATGTATAGAGTAGCATCGGCTTCACAACCGAGAATATCACGGCCATTGATTCGACAAATGAACCATCATTCCCGTAGCTCGTCGAAACAGCTGACCACTCAGAACGCGCCGTGACAGAGACACTATCGTGATTTACCGATTTGCTCCTAGGTGAAGAAAAAAAAAGAAGAGAAAAGGCGCTAATACGAGTCGGCGATAGAGACATGCAATGTTTCAACGCGCCACGAGTCGGGTGCAGGCCACGGGCTGGGAGAAGCGGGTTTTCGTGGGTTGGCAAGCTAGGGGACGTGGCTAGTGTCGTGGACGAGAAGAACGATTGAAGATGGTGGTTTGATGGTGGTTTGGCTTGGCTGTATGCCCGGGTTTCAGAGGACGAGAGTTGGGCATGAGTTGGGACAAGGATGATGAAGCGAGTTGCGGCCTGAGAAATGCCTGAAACGCTGCAGGGGGCACGAGAAGAACTTTTGAAGTTTTTTTTCGGTTGTTTACGAACGACCGGGTTTGATACTCTGAGGACCTACTGGGTATTAATTTGTTGTAAGTTACAAAATGGCCGTCTCTTTTTTGGTTGGGTGGTGTTGAGGTCGGTCACGAGAATGAGAAAGACAAAACTCTAATGAAAATGATTGACATAGGTACTGCCGCTGCCACATTCCCACGAAGTCGCGCTTAAGCTTGACTCTTAAGCTTGACTGGCCCTCGCGCGTGTATTCCATCGCGTTACCACCCTTTCGAAGAAATCACTTCATGATTCGCCCACCGCCTTTGTCTCGATCAAATAGGTCGCGTCAAAACCTGCTATCGATAGCATCACCGCCCAAAGCCTTTTAAACAACCCGACCCAAACTAAAACATCCTTGTCCCACGCTTATGCACCCCTGTCCCCCCACAACTCGACCAACCCACTGGCCACAGCGATCGAAACCATGAGACGGTGCCTGTGGGACACATGCGGCTTGCTGTTCCACTGCTGGCGCGGCCGGGAGTGACGCGGACACGGTGAGAAAGCCTGGCGTTGTCGCGATGTGAGTCACTGGCCAGTTGTTCCTAGAGCCGGCGACTCTGGCGATGCTGGTGCTGCAGGACGATTGGAGCGCGGAGGGTTGGCGAGAATGGCGCTACGGGGGAGACGGGAGCAGAGTTTTCTCTTGCTCGTTTTCGTCTGGCTTGTCGTTTTTTTTTTCTTTTGTTCCGGTTCGATGGATGCCCAGCCCGGGGGGGACGAAGCGAAGCGATAATGGGCAGAAATCATAGGGTTGGTTTGGGTAGGGTTGGGGGATATATACAGGCGACGAGGACGGAGACCGGCTTCTCGTGCTCTCCATCTTGGATTTTCATCCGGTAATTCTGCTGTGTGAATAACTGTATTCGATCTGTGTCTTGATATTGACGGTTGATTGAGAGCACACTCGTCTCTCGATTTCAATCTCTCCATCATCAAGGGGTTTATACTTGGTATCCAACCACCAACCACCAACCACCTTACATCAACCAGACTAGGGCTGCAGGCCATCAATACTAGCAGTCTAAACATCTGCTCTCTTGAAACAAATCACTTGAAACAAGATCTCGAGGGCCTTACCCCGCGATATGAGACGGATATGGCTTCAACTGAACAACTCTTTATCGCCATGTTGAGGAGCGACGCTGTCAAGGACAGCCTCTTCCATCACCTCACCACGTCCGACGTCTGCGCCATCCGCGAGGCTTCATCGGCCTGCTGCAACCTGGTCACCAAGCGTCTCTTCACCCGCATCCACGTCACCTTCACGGCGTCCACCTTCACCCGGCCCTCGCGCATCGCCGCCCTGGGCCGGGTCGGGCATCACGTCGAGCACTTGACCTTTCACTTTGCCCACTCCGAGGCCACGTTTCTGCCGCCGCTGATTCATCCGCTGACGGGCGATGAGATTGCCTTTCTGTACACGCCGCACACCAGCATGGGATCGGCGCTGACTCGCCCCAAGTATGCCAACACGGAGCTGGGCGAGATCCTGACGCAGCAGTATCCTCCGCTGTTCCACGCGGCCACAAACGTCGCCAGCTTCATCTATGCCATTGGCCACGTCCCCAACATGAGGCACCTGACCATTCGGTGTCCCGGCCAGGACCCGAGGGAACGGTATAGGAGGGACATTGTTGACTATGCCCTCATCAGTCTGCGGATTGCCATTGAGCGAACGCCCATGATAAAGCTCCATAAGTTGTCTCTGTCGTCCCTTCATCCCTCTGCCTTCAACTATCTCAGATACATCAATGGGATCGGCAGCGTGCCCTCTGCTAGTCGTAGGTGGCAGCAGATAAACAAGCTGCACATCTCAGTGGAAGCCTGGGACTTTTACGGCCCGTCTCCTGGCTTGGACCATCTCAAGGTCATTGATGACTACATCCGCAACTTTTCCCAAGGCTTAGAAAAGTTTACTTTTACCTGGATTGGTGCCAAAGGACCGTGCCCCGTTGCTCTCTCTGCTGATCCCCTCTTCGCGCCGCCTCGCAGCACGAAGAAGCTATTCCATGAAGTCACTTCTCCCATGTCGCCTCTGCCAACCCGGCCTCCTCGCTGTCCCATCTACTTCCCCAAGCTGCGCTATCTGCAGATTCGTAATGCCGCCATGAGCTCTCCCCAGCTCAGGGGCCTAATCATGTCCCACCAAAAGACTATCAAGCAGTTTGGCTTTGAGAACGTCGTCCTCGCCAACAACGGTAGCTGGGACGAAGCCCTGGCACCCGTCAGCGGCGACGACAACTGGTCTCGGAGCAGCGTCACGGCATCTTCGGAGTTTTCTGTCGTAACCGGCACAAGTGATGAAGAGCTGCCTAGCCCCAGTGCTGCGGTCGAGGCTGCCAGCAGAGAGCTGATGGATCTTGACCTGAACGGCCTCACCCTGAGCGAGGACGAGAGAGATGTAGCTCAAGACTTTGCCGGCAACTTTGCCGGGCCCAGGGAATCAGATCAGAGTGTTTCTACCAAGCTTACGCGAAAATGTGTCCGGCGGCGCCGCAGAAAGCACTCCGAGACAGAGAAGAGAGAACAAGCCTCTAAGCATCTGTCTCCTCTATCGCCGCCTCTGTCGTCTCACAGTCACAAGTCTTCATCCTCTGTACACAGCTATAAGCCATCCAAGCTACGTCTCAGGCTATCTTTTGGATCCAGCGATGTTGCTTATTCTGCCATCCCCGAGCCGCTGTCCATCATCACGCCACCCATCATGTCGTCAGAGCCCCAACCTGTCCTCCTTCAACCGACCATCTACTCTCCCTCCGCCCATCGCCAGGCTGGCCCCGACGATGGCATCTCCACTGTACAACGCAACCTGGAACAGGAAAATGCTCATCGACTGCTTGCCGAGGACGTGGATGCGAGAGCAAGCGCCCTTCACAAGGCCAAAGAAGCGGTTCTGGCGAAACTCAGTAAGGAATTTTACAGCAAAAAGGATAGATTCACCGATGCGGTGTCCGTGTGTCGGTATATGGGTGTTAGAGAGGTGAGCGGGTGCAGCAGAGAGATGGTGATGGAGGATTGGAGGGGGTTGGAGAGCAGGAGTGCGTTGGTGCCCTTAATGTTTAGTCGATCTTAGAGGCGTGGTTGGGATCTGGAAACAGAGGTAATGGAAGGAGGGTATGATTATGATGATACGACGACACGAATGTTCTGGTACGGACTTGGTCTTTTGGTCTTTCTTTTGATCACTCTTTTAGGTCACTTTTCTTTGATGTATTTTGTATTGCATATCATGATATCTGGACGGGGGATATGGACATGTATAGTACGATCATTACACTCTCTCATTTAGTATTCTTAGTGTTTAAACTCTTAGTATTCTAATCACTCTACTTATAATCATCTTGGCTGCCATATCACGAAATACTTCATTCAGGTACTCTCGTTAGCAATCCTCTCCAGCGTCTTCACATACTCCTCCACCTCCTTCGCCCCCGTCAGCGTGATATCCCTCCTCTTCCCCTCCACCATGACAACCGGCACCGCATCGACATCCCGACTCACCTCCCTCAGCTTCGCCTTGACCTCTGCCAATCCAACCTCCTTATCCCCCACAACCTCGCTCGCCTCCTCCTCACCAATCCCCGCCTCCACACACGCCCCTATCAACACCTCATCCCTCGAAGGATGCTCCCCCCTCTCAAAGTACCGCACATACAGCGCATCGATAAGCTTATTCGCCGTTTCGGGGCCCTTGGACGACTGGAAATACTGCGCCACGCGGTGCGCGTGCAGGGTGTTCCCCATGTATCCGTCGAAGCGCAGGGCGATGCCGAGGGGCTGGGCGATGCTGGTCATGTGCGCCTGGAAGGCCTGCTGGGTGGTGGCGTCGCCGAAATGCTTGTTGTCGAGATACCACTGCAGGCGATCTTCCTCGGGAGGGAAGTTTGGGTTGAGCTGGTAGGGGGCGAAGTGGAGGGTGTAGGAGACGGAGGAGGCCATGGGCGAGGAGCGGAACTTTGCGAGTGCTTGGTCCAGTCTGTTGGGAGTTTTGGGGGTTAGTATGCGAATTGAGTTTTAAGATTGAGTGTGAGAGATGAGATGTCCATGCCTTTTCTTGGCCATGTATGTCCTGTGAATTAAGAAGAGTTAGTTTATGTGATGTTGCATGAGGATTATGGGATTCATGCTGCGTTGTTTGTGTAAGTGATGGATATTTCACGTACCAGGGACATATGGTGTCCAGCGTAAAGGTAACCTGCGACTCATACATCGTGTCTCACGATTTCACACAGACTAATAAACGACTGCAGCACGCCGAATTTGAGATAATGTTATCACTTTGCGAAGAAGAAGAAAAATCTTGGACTGAAGTTGAAAATGAGAGCCCAACGTCACAATCGCTGATGCTAACTTTAGTCATCTAGAGATTGCGGGGGAGAGTTCGGGAACCAGCCGGGAAGGATACTATTGAGGGGCCGATCAGCCCGCAATTCTAAATCATGACTAACAAACGGCAGAGTCGCGGCACACGAGAACCAGATGATTGCGGGATCTATCTTTTCATCAAGACTCGTTGTACATATACGGATGCAGTAACAGAAAAAACATGTGCTTGAGGGGTATCTATCTTATAGTCAAGATAGCCGATGCTAGTCGAATGTAACCTTGGTTCCGGTATGCTCAACCAAGCCTCCCGTGAGACGAGCGACAGCAATGTCCGGAGCACCCTTTGACGGCGCCGCCTCCGGTCTGCTTCCCCTGCTGTTGTCCCTGTCGTCCGCCCTGCTCCTCCTGGGAGGTCTCGATGTGTCGTCGGCCTTCTTGTCCTTGCCGAACCGCTTCTTGTATCGCACCTGGTCGTCCTCGGCCAGCTCAAGCTTGAGCTCGCGGCCCAGCATGCGGTTCACCCACCACTTTCTTGTCTTGAACTGCTTCTGCGCCTGCTTCTCTCCGTCTTCGGCCTCATCGTCGCTCTTGTCGTCCCGGAAATCCTCTTCGGTCTCCACCGCCTCCTTGATCTTGACAAAGCCCTTGACGGCCCAGGCGGCAGCTTCGGGCTCCTTGAACTTGACCCAGCCGTAGCCCTTGCATTTGCCCGAGTCCTCGAATGTGGCCAGCTTGGCCCACTCAATCTCTCCGCACTTTTCAAAGTTTCGCATCAGGTCCTCCTCGGTGACCTTGAAGCTCAGGTTGCCCACAAACACCTTGCGGCTGGCGTTGGTCTCTTGGCGCTGCTCCGTCTTGTTCTTGGAGGATGCCGCATCGGATTTCCCGGCTGCCTCTTCGGGTTCCTTCTCCTTAGCCGGGCGACCTTCGAATGACTTGGCGTCCTTGATGAGCAGCTTGCGTCCATTGAGGTCTGTCTCCGAGAGGGCAATGGCAGCGACCTTGCCGCCAATGTCTGCAAAGTCGACGTAGGCAAATCCCTTGTTCGCAGGCTTCTCGCCCTTGGGCCGGGTGGCGTCCTTGACCGTAGGCAGCTTCACTCTTGTAATCGCCTCTTCCGTGATGACGCCTCCAGCATTGTCTATCAGCCAAGTGCGCAGCTCTGCGGCTGTCAGCCTGAACGGCAGGTTGCCAATCCAGACACCATGCTCAGACCGTGCTTTATCCTTGCCTTCCTTCTCACCATCTTGATCATCCTTCTCATCGTCGCTCGAGGGCTTGGCTGGCAGGGGCTTTCCCTTCTTGAGGGCTCGTCGCGCTCGTTTTGACGGCGGTTCCGGGGCGTTTACGTCGACCTCGATTTCCTCGACCTCGGCCTTGCGCTTGGAGGAAGCCGACTTGTCGACCTCGGCCGGTTGGGGAGATTCTGGACTTGTGTCTGCCATTGGGGGTGATGTATGTGATTATGTATTTCGTAACGTACACTCAATCATCTTTCCGCAGCATTCGATCAATACGGCCAGCAGAAATTTTTTGGAGCCAGCGGAAATCTCCCAATCGATAAGGCGATAACTACCCGTCCAGTAGCGAAGTGGGGGCGCCGGGAATTGGGTTAAGCGTCAACCAAGCGCTGAAGCCGGCCATTCCCATTGTCCACCAGCCAAAACCAAGCCGCAAAGAGCATACCTATCATATGCAACGAGAAGCATGTTGCATCCCATTCCAAACACGCAACGCTGTTCAAGACCCAACGGCCGTCCTCGAAACTCAGATCGTCAATAGGAATGACTCCCGTAACGCTTGTGCCGTGTTACGCCAGCGACAGCAGGCCCTCTGAATGGCTGACATGACGAAGTGGCGCGGAGCCACGACTTTGCCCGGCATTAGCGTTACAACGGCAGCAAAAAAAAAAGTTTGAAATGGAGATGACATTGGACGCAGCTAATGACGAGAGTGTGGGAGATGGACGGCCAAAGAAATGTGACGGCTAGTGATTCGCAGGAGCTTCCTAATGCAGGCTGAGTCGTGTGCTCTGGACTGGGACTGGCGACTGCGACGCTGGGCCACGGATGGAGCGGTGCTGTCGTGGTCGGTCCCATTGTGCAGTCTCATTCATGTGTTTGTCTTTGAATGCATGCCAACTGACCCGTGCAAGTGCAGGTATCTACGAGTCCAGTACGAGCCACTCTAGGCATAAGCTCCACATGGCATCAATTCTGCCTTGATGGAATGGCGAGATTTCATCTCGGAACTGGAGCGTGCGCGCTGAGGCCCACTGCTAGCCAGCAGTACAAGCAGTAGTTTGTTGCATGGCCAAGCGTTTGTGCGGCAAAAAGCATTAGCATTGGATGTTTTATATGAAATGAACCGGCCTGCCGCAAGGAGAGAAATAGTCGAGTGATAGGCCGAGCCTAGCTCTCTGCAGGTCGGCCGAGCGAAATGACTTGTGCCCTTGATCCCTTGACACACTCGTACATGCAAGTTAGGGTGCTAGGCGTTCCGGCTCATGATGGGATGGAACCGCACAGTACAGTAGGTAGTAATCCGGCCGTTTGCCGTCAGATGCTGGTCGTCTCACCCGTCCACTGTACAAGTAGAGGCAAGGCTCACGATGCGGTCTTCCGAGGGCAAACAAGCCAGATCGGGACCCGCAGCTCTCCTTGCCTCGAGTGGGACAGGCGAATGAAACATTTCCCTTGCACAGCTAAGGCACGCTGCAGGGACGAGGCAGGATAGCGCCGGAGAAAAAAAAAGAGGAAACATGGAAGGGAAAATAAGAGAGAGCAGATCCGGCCAGGCAAGGCAAACAAGCCGTCGCCAGATCAGCTGAAACCGAAGGACCTAAACTCTTCAAGTCTTCTATGTCTGTCGTGCTCAGGTTTTCGTTTTGCCGCCCGAGGACAGACAGACTCCGTCCCGGCACATGTACATGCACTCGTACATGCAGCTTGCAGCGCTCAACTGGCTAGCGTTGCAGCCCAACAGGCCAACCAGCTGTGGGGGATTGGCCCGGGGCTTACACGTAGGTGCCTTATTAGTGCTCTGTAGCGCTGGGAGGTGGCGCGCTCTGCCCTCTGACGCACCTGTGCCGCCAGCCACGTTGTAGCGGGCGACGGCGCTGCGGTCCATCGAAACGGGCCTGTGGCAGCCGGTGGCCTCCGCTGGCAGAGGGATGGAGCCGGACGAACGCTGCTGTTGCTCCATCACGTGCGACGGGTTCAGCGGCTGGCCGACGAGCTTTTTTGTCTGCCGGGCCATCTTTTGCTTTCGTCCAGCCAGCCATCCATCCATCCACGGCATCCCATCCCTGGCGACGCAACAGTCTCCGCATCTAATCCTTTAACTATTACCCACTCGCTCGCTTTTGTCCACAACAACTCAACCTCTGCCCTTGCACTGGCCGGGCACCCATGCAGAGCCCCGTTGACCGCTCTCTGGTTCTAGTAGTTCTTTATTGCGCTGCAGCCGGGCCTGTTTTTCGCGCCTCTTTCTCCTCTTTGCCTTTGCCTTTGCCTTTCCGTTGCTTCGCCCCTCTCGTCCGGACGGTGACGAGGACGGCGCTCTCGATATTCGTCTGACGAATACTCCAACAATACTCGAACAACACAATACGGCCAGCATCAGCACAGTCGATACAATCAGCAGCGCCCATCAGCATCCCAGCCACCATCGCGACCGGGACGCCGACAGTCTGAAGTTCCCATTCACACAGCTTCGCTTCGCCTCCGTCGCCTTGCCACAATGAATGTGCTGCTGTCGCCGCAGTTTCCAGTCTTCCCTCACCAGCACGAAAACCCACATCTATCCCAGCGAAACCGTAAGTCATCGCCAGTGCCGCTTCCTTCATTCATGCCTTGGTTTTTTGGCGCATCGCACACGCACTCATCTCCCCATACCATGTTCCGGAGCTCACATTCCTCGGCAGTCTCATCGCTTCAAAACATGAGCAGCCGGAAACGAAAGGCCGACGAAGATGGAGACGAAAACATGTCGCCCATGAGCTCACCTGCCGTGTCCTCTCGCCCTCTTATTCGCCCGTCCAAGAAATTCAGATCAAATGATTTAATCGGAAGGCCACTCCCTCTGCCTCGGCTATTGGAAACCCTCGACACAACTCAGCTACGAACAGTCTTGGAACGCATCTGCGAGCGTCATCCGGATATTGGGCAGGAGGTGGTCTCGCAAGCGCCCCGGCCTACGGTTTCCGCAGCCATGGACGTCCTGCAGTCATATCAAGATAGATTAAACGGCGCCGCTCCATATGGCAATAGTAGCGCGGAATACACCTACGACCGAGTCAAGGCCCCTCTCGTCGCCTTGCTCGATGCACTCTCCGATTTCACCCCTCAATTTCTTCCACCAATCGAAACCCAGCCTACCAAATCTCTCGAGTTCCTCGACGGCGCGACCAGATTCATTCACAATCTTCCCAACTGGCAGCCGCAAGCGTATCGTCACCACAAAGAAAACGCATACGAAGACATATCCAAAGCATGGGCCTTGGTTATCAACGAAGCTGCGAAGCGGGGTGGCGGTTTCAACCTACACACGGATGGATGGGATCAGAAACTCGCCCGACATAACGAGCAATCCGGTGGACGACTGGGTACCGCCATCACTGCCATGTCAAATAGCGTTGGTTGGATCTCGAATGAGAATGCGGAGCAAAACTCCATTCTTAACCAGATTGTGTCGGGTACATACGGGGCCCCCGTCAGAGTCGGGCCCTGGTAAAAGCTGCCAGAGCACCTTACGACACATCTTATTTCATTTTTCACGACATCATCTTTTGCATCAACGGGCTATTATAGACTTCGGCACTCTTTTTCTTTTCCTTACGCACACAACCGGTTGGTTTGGTTGGCTGGCTGGCGTTCTTTCCTTTGTCATTTTTGATATCCTTTCCCTATCACTCAAGTGGGCAGCAGGGACTCTACGTGTGGCATATTTTGCGGTATTTGTACTGGTACGGGGACATTCATCATTTGTAAATAACTCAAACAATCCATAGACTGGTACCTCTAATACTGAAAACAGGCGTGGATCAAACTTTGTCTCTCAGCATGCACAATCACTGCTCTTCTAATTCTAGCAGAGCTTACGACGACTCTTGGAAGGCTCTGCTAGATAGGACCCGATGACTTGACGCTGCTTCTTTGCCATCTGGAAGAATCTGCTCAAATGTGTAATCTGCATGTGCCGCAAAGCTGACGACGCAATAAACGTCTCCATCAGCAGCTCCTCCGGTAATACTTGACGAATGCGTGCTAGTGGAAGGTCAGCCGGACAAGATGAGCAGGGCGTTGAGCTGAGACAATCTGGAGGTTGCGAAATCCCGGGGTACGTACCTGACACCTCCGGCCCAGACACTCGGCGTCACGTGCTCACCTGTTTTGTCCATTAAACAGACGCGCCTGTTAGTATGTCATGGACGCGACTCATCGTGAATGGAAGCCTAGCATAACATTCAAGGCATCCAACCAGCGCCTTTGCTCGCACAGACTCGACTGCTGCCCGTTTGAACCCAGTGCACTCTTGCCTCTTCTGCTATAGATGAAAGGGTGATTCCGGTTGCCATCAATGCCTGCGTACGCCCTTCCCTCAGTTCAACTAACAAGATGCGAACTCGGTTGTGATTAACAAGAGCTTTCCAGCCCGGGCGATCAACACCAGGAGTGGCCCAACCCCTTCGAGGAGGCCAAGCCGCGCGTAGCTGGGTGGTCGGCCAAGGAAATCGCCACAATCGCCTCGAGGCTCGACAAGCAGCTCGGCCCCGAGTACATCTCTTCGCGCGCCGGTCCCGGCGGTTCACGGGTGCATTATCTCACGGCCGAAAAGGTCATCGGCCTCGCCAACGAGGTTTTCGGCTTCAACGGGTGGTCGTCCTCGATACAAAACATCCAAGTCGACTTTGCCGACGAGAATCCAACATCGCAGCGCGTCAGCATCGGGCTGTCTGTCATCGTACGGGTCACTCTTCGGGATGGGACCTACCACGAGGATGTCGGCTACGGCTCAATAGAGAACGCCAAGGGGAAGGCGATGGCCTTTGAAAAGGCGAAAAAGGAGGGGACCACGGACGCTCTGAAGCGAACGCTGAGGAACTTTGGCAACATTCTGGGCAACTGCATCTACGACCAAGACTACGTCAAGCAGGTTACCAAGATCAAGGCCCAGACCAACAAGAAGTTTGATCCGGATAATCTTCACCGACACTCGGATTTCGCGAAGAAGGAGGTGACCACGGCCGGCAACGTGAGCAATTCCGGTAACAACACCGCGGCCAATGCGGCTGTCACTGCTGCTACTGCTGCGCCCACGTCCGCAGCGGGGGGGTTCAAGATAGAGCCAATGGACTCATTTGATGACTTCTTGGGGGGTATGCTGTCCTCAGATGGCTTTGAAGAGATTGAGGCTGAATATCTATAGAACTTGACGAAGCTGATTTTTGCGTGCCGGGAGATGGTCATCCCGATGAAATCATGCTTCCCAGCGCGGCCAACCCGCCCAATGACAAGCCTGCTGCTAACGAATCAAGGCCGGGTCAACCAGCAAAGCCTATGCCGGGAAATAACTCGAACCGGCCGCCGCAGCCACAGCCGTACACTCCTCGACAAGGACAACCACCCCGGCCACAGAATGCCCCGCAAGGCAAGGACTCTCTCAACCAAACGATGGCTCCCCCTCCTCAGGCCCCTCCTCCGGGAGAACCTGTGGCATTTTTCTCGGCGAGATCCACCATGGGTGATACAAACCAGCCTGGCAATCAAAGCCAGCAGAAACAGCTGTTCAATCCCAAGGCCGAAAGCCCTTCGATACGAAAGACCCCTGGAATCGATCACACCTCATCCAAGCCCGTTGCGAGGAACGGCCAGCATGTCCCTCCGGCTAACAGCCAAGCAACGTCTACGCCAAGTGGCAACGCCGGCGGCTTCACATCACTGCGGCAATCAATCAGCAGCTCTCAAGCCAGGGGTAATCCGATGAACCCATCTCTAGACCAAGCTCGTAGAATAGGAGCTCCGGGTGGTGGTCTGGGCAGTCCCCTTGCGAATCGAGGCCAATACAAGCCTCCAACAATGAAACGAACGTTACCGAGCGAAGCCAATGGGGCTAATGGACCGAGGGCCCCATTGGCCGACATTCCAACGAATGCTGGCAACGGTAACAGCGAGGATGGGCTGGACGCAAAGAGGCAGAAAATGGCATGACTCTAACGACAAGAGCAAAAGGGGGGCATTTTGGCATGAAATGAGCATGGAGTTTTGGAGTTTGGGTCGGTGATCAATGACAGCCCTCCTGTGATTTAGTTCTTTGGGGCTCAGACAGACGGTGAATGTATGGCCGGATATTTCCAATTCGTCATGAAATGGGCGTGATCTGGGGCAATTGATGTTTGATGCTTACAGCGCTGCCCCTATTTTCTAGTATTCAATGAGTTTGAAGGGTTGTTCCGCTACGCACTGGAATTCCCTCTGGCCCTCGGAACTCTCTCGGCAGTGCAGCTCAGGTCGATGAAGTGCACAACATCGACGCCCACTCTAGCCGTCTTCCATGAAGCATGCACATAATACGTTCTTCGCAAGTCTTCGTCATACCGAACTTTGACGGTCGTGTGTCTCTTTTTCCGCACGGCACTACCCACTTTGTTGGCATCTCCTAGATGAGCAGAAATATTCAAGTCGTCAGGGAGCGCAACGCCGATCCACGGCTTTCCTTCCTCCTTTACACCTCCGGAAGCTAATACGAAGTCGCTGCAATTTGTGAAGCTGGGGTCAGGTCTGAAATGCGTGTAAGCAGCAAAGTCCTCTCTGCCACGAGTCTAGAACATGTGTTGGCGCGTGTCCCACTCCGTCTCGGGGACGCAGGAGAGGGGCGTGAAGAGAAAGGCCTAGGTAGGCGGGTTGACGCCCCTCCGGAAGACGAAGGAGTAGCTGAAGAGGGTCTCGAGGTAGAGCGAGCGGCTTGGGGTGACGTGCTTGGGGAGGAAGACGCGGATGCCGTGCAGGGGGGTTCCGCCGGGGGGAGTGGCGAAGCGGCGGGCTTCGACGCGGCTGTAGATGCGGCCGCCGTGGGGCTTGATGAGGATGCCGATGTGACGGCGGTTGGTGGTGGAGGTTGCGGATGATGATGATGATGGGGTTCCGGTTGGGGCGAAGTCGACGCAGTTCATGTCCATGAAGAAGATGCGGTCGCTGACGGGGAAGAGGCCGGAGTCGATGCGGAGGCCCTTGTTTGTGATGAGGAATTCGGTGCTGAACATGGGGTCGTTGATGAGATGGATGGAGCCTGAGTTGTCCGAGGTTGCTCTTCGTGCCGCGAAACGCCCACGTCTGGTCGTAGAACTTGAGGACCCGCGGGGCGATGAGCTCCTGCAGCGTCCAACCACGTGTGAAGCGCCGACACTTGGGCAGCTGGTGGTGAATGTCGCGGTTGTCCGGCGGGAGATCCATGAGCCAGGCGTAGCACACGTCTGCGTCGAGGTAGAAGCGGAACATGGAGTTGATGGCCTCGGTCAGCTCGGAGCTGCCGGTCTTGTCGATGCAGCAGGTGTCGGCCCAGGCATATTGGAGGCCGTCCTGGCGGGCGAGCTCGCAGAGCTTCTGGAGCTTGATGAGGCCGCGTTTGCGGGAGAGTCTTGAAAGGTGGCTTCTTGGTCTTGCCAGGTGTGTGAGAGGATGGCGTATTTGGGGATGTCGGTTTCGAGGAACTCGGAGAGGGTGAGGGTTTCGGTGTTGATGAGGCGCATGGTTACGGTTGATGTATGGGCACGGTAAGATTAGAAAGTAATTGACTTTCTAGTGTTCTATAAGAGTCTCTTCCATCTTCGAGAGGCTATACATGCCATTCTCTCGCCTCGCATAGTCCTCATTTTCCAGCGCCCATCCATGCGTCCCTCCCTTTGAACTCAATTCGTCTCCCTCTCGCTTACACGAGTCGAAGTCTATAATGACAGCATCAACCCCATCCATCATGATATTTGATGGGTTCAAATCGTTGTGTACAAGTCCAAGTCGCGCAAATGACGCACGCCCGCCTTGATTCCAAGCAGGCAATGGATTTTGTTGAAATCTGTCCCGTCTCGAAGCAATTGTGACAGGGTTACGGGGCATCTCTTAAAGCCCAGTCCTTTTTACCCGACCGTCTTTCACAACACAGCCCAGATACCGAGCAATATTGGGATGCGAATTTCTTCGTAGAATCTCGCACGCCTCAACCTCGGTCAATATTTGACGGCTGTACTCGGAAGCATCTTGTGTATTATCTTCGTAATAGAGAAGGCTGGGTCGCTTCAGATAGGAGGGTCATGGTAGATGTGCATACCTACTATACCTACTAATGTATTGTGGTAATTCAGAGCCCTGGAGCCTTTACGCAGCGCCTGACCCCCGGACATCTACAGTAGCCAGCATATCCTTTACTAATTGAAATCAAAATTTGGAAACATGATGAATCTATCGTGTCTCAGCCGTATTCAGTTGGATATTTGACATGATCAAGTGCTTCCTCCTGCTGGTAGATGCTCAAAGTTCATGAGCGGTGCAGATCCCATTCCGCAGCGTGCTCTGCGGGGTCCACACTCATATTGTGACTTAGCGCAAATAGTGTCATGAATCATCACAGGCGGAGTGCCAGAGTGGTTAATGGGTATGACTAGAAATCATATGGCTTCGGCCTCGCAGGTTCGAATCCTGTCTCCGTCGGATTTCATTTTTTGCCGAATCTGCTGTTGGATAACTTGAACAAACAGAAAATATATTTTTTCGCCCTTTATTTGTTGTTCTTTCTTTTGTCTCCTTATTCTTCCATGTGCTGTTTTACAGTTCGGTGGCCCTTCTGGGAGGGGTTCTCCTCCCTTTCCCTGTTGACAACTCACAGATTGTTGTATCTAATTGCACGATATATTACCCTATATAAGAGGTAGGTATGTAAAAATACGGAGAAGTTGGGGTATTCATTTGTCGCTAAGGATGTGCAAGTATGTCTCATAATCGCGTTTTGGCGAAGATAATAACAATATTCGCAGCAGCCCATTGATTGAGATGTTGCTGCGGCTTCTTGTTGCGGCTGTAAAACTTGGACTGGGATAATACTTGATATTATGGCCCAATTGACTGCACATGGTGCGAGGCATGAACAAGATAAGCTGTGCTGGAAACAGTTTCCGATAAAAGAGAAGGTGAAAGAACTCAGTGAATACACAAGCCCATTGTTTGCTATGAGCCCTATCTAACGAATAAAAGGTTCACGTCTTCAACTCTATTTAGCCCAAACCCTCAATCAACTTCCACATATCTCAAAGCCTCAGCTCTTAATAGTCACTATCACTAATTTTAGACAGCATTATGGATGCATTTGAAAGCTCAAAAAGAGTCAGGATTACTCCCTAGTAGCTACTTTGAACTTTTTAGTCTGGGGCCACTGTCTATGTCTTTTGAATCCTCCTGTTCATAAACACCCAGAAGCTCATCACACTAACAAAGCCATATTAGTATAACATGCACCTCAACTCTCATAAGCTTTCTACATCTAGTACTCACGCTGATATTAATCACATCCACCTAGTCTATAAACACCAAAGATTCTCATCACCACCTCTACCTCTGATAAAGCACCCCATTCCTAATCCGCGGCCTCCAAATCCCAACACCCATCAGAAAGCAAAGCCGTGCAATAATCACAATCGTGCACACCTCAACACAGTAAATACAATCAACCCCCTTCGAAACCCGTTCAAACGCCCCCGCCAAGCGCACCGCATGAGTCGTATCGTTCATGCACATGAAATTCCAGATCAAGAGCACCACCTGAATCATGCGCCACACCTTGATGTCGTCAGTGTAATGCAGCAGCATCGTCGTCATGGCCGCTACGGTAGCCATCAGGGCAAACATCTGCTCGAGGACAAAGGCATCGCGGTATCGTGTTGACGAACTGCTAAAGAAGAGGGAGGAGGAGAAGGAGCCGTTGCGGAGGTTGACGTGGCCGCTCCAGAGCATGATGAGAGGGTCGAGTTTTTGGAAGAAGAAGCGGTAGAACATCCACATGTTTGCGGTGTTGCTTGAAAAGGCAATCATGGTTGAGAGAGTTGAGGTGGTTTCTGTGATGGGTTTGACATGAAAAATTGCCTTGATTTATTTGGCGTGATGGTCAAGTGAGTTGATTGATGTTCTGTGTATTCCGCAATTGATACCACGTTTGACCTACCAAGTATTTATCAATTTTTATAACCTTGTCAACCGTTATACTAGAATTAGGCAGCTTTTCTGTCAAATCAACAAATTCCACAACCGCGAAGCTGTTACGCGATCCTTTCAGGCAGCCACTCCACAATGCTGGGTTTGGAAGACGAGAACCAACAACAGGCAAACAATGAGCTGTTTCAACCGTAATCCACAAACCAAATCCCCGGGTTGACTTTGCAATGCAAGTTTATTTTGCTGCACAGTCACACCAATGATAATTACATATCTGAGGCAGAGTGTAGTAGTAATACAGTAATTCATTCATTCATCCCCCTTGGAGAACAGCAATGACCATCTCATCTTCGCAAGACCATTCCGCCCGCGCTGTCTACAAAGCCACAAGAACCCACCTCATATCTTCACTGGAGATGTAGACGTTAGTCTTGCAAGACCCTGCTGAGCCTGCTTCACTCCCTCGGGAAACTGCATCTTGCCGCTCATCTCAATGCACTGTTGGTACTTTTTCCTCGCCAGCTCCGCCTTGCCTAGCATGGCTGCGATGTCGCCCCAGTTGCAAAGCGCAACAGCACAGGCCTCATCGCACTCCGGCGTCCGGTCGTCGCCCTGGACGTCTTTGGCATGAACATATGCGTTCTGCGCCCAGTTAAGGCCCGCCTCGAGACATTCCTTGCGAGTTGTGGGCATGGAGGCATCGAGAAGCTCTTTCAAGCCCTCGGATGGCTCCATTGTACCCGCGGCATACAAAGGCTGCTGGGCAAATGCCGCCGCCAAGTTGTTCATAATGACCGCTCGGTGGCATGGGGTCTCGCATAAGCGGAGAGCCTGGAAGAATAGGGGAATGGCAAGCTGGAACTGATCGCGGCGCTCGTAGTCTCGACCAAGTGACTCCATTGATCCGCCGAGTTCTTCGGGGCTGAGCCACTTCTCTTCTCCAGGCTTGGGCCCATCAAGTTTGCGTCTGCGGAATTCCTTGAGTGAGGTTTCGACCGCCCAGACCAGATGGGCATGGGACTTGTCCGGGTTGAGCACATGCTCATCGGAGTATAGTTCACCGAGCTTAACGCTTGTTGAGATAGCCTTGGAAAGCAATCTTTCTCGTTTGCGCCACAAGGTCTCGCTTGACTCTGGGGGAGTGGCGGCGTCATCTGCTTGCCCGGTATTACCATCAGAAGCTGCATCCGCTGCAGCAGTCTTTTGTGCGTCGCCAACATATCGCCCTTTGTTGTCCACCTTGCCGTCCTTGACAGATTGCTCCATGACGTCGATCCATCTCCGGCAGTCTCCAAGAACAGATTCGAGAACGTCAATGGCCGCCTTGTGGCTGTTGATCTTCTCAAGCCAGAACGCCACCTGTATCCTGATGCCCAACACTTCGTCGGAGAAAGGATCTAGGCCAACCTCGGCACATTGTTCCATTGCCTTTTTGTAGTACCTCAATGCAAGCTCGGGATCTGGTTTGATGTTGGTGTAGTAGATGGCGCGGCGTAGAGTGTTTGCGACTGGTTCCGGATACCTGCTAAACTGCGAGTTGTAGAAAGTGTTGATGTACGCTCGAATCGCAACCGCAGAGAAGACGAAAGTGAACAACAGGCTGAGAAGCGTTAGAACAGCAGAGTGTTACATCTTGGTAGTAAGAAACGTACAGAAGAACATTCAGCGTGGTTACGCCTGGGTTCTCGCGATATGACTGCCGGATGCCTCGAGGGCTCAGCGCAACAACGAGGTTCCGCAAGCTGACTCCGAGCGCACGCCCCGCAAACTGACGAAATGTAACCTGAGGCTTCCCCTGTGCTGAACCTTTGTCTTGAGGCGTTTGAGAGGTCGATTGATGTCGTTTTTGCTGGGGTCGCAGGGTCACCACAGCCCGCAGGTGGACAGTGGCAGTGGGCGATTTGACCTGGACGGAGAGCAGGCCAGTGGTGGCATGGCGCAGACATTGGCCTCGGACGGGCCTCAGCGAGGCGACTGCCGATATCGACATTGCTTCAGTGTCTGTGCATGCAAAAGAATAGCTGCGGTGGGTTGAGTTGTTGCGGCTTGAAGCCTGAGGCTCGAAGCTCGAAGCTGGAAATATTTCCCCATGACATGACGGCATCCAGAGGAAATCTTGAGAGCACCTGGTGGTCCGTGCGGTCCGGCTTTCAATTGGCGTGCCGAGGAAGGTGGGGTTAGAGGGCAGAATCCCGAATATAATATCATCAATATCATAACCATAAACTCTTGAAGCTTCTATCCTTCACCTCAACCCGTGAACCTCAGCAAAAAAAAAATGTCTGGAAAATTCGAGCCCAAAGTCCCCGTCCAGCTGGACCCTCCCAAGAGCGATCCCATCTCTCTCGAGGCTCTGGCTGCTGCCAACGGTAAGTCGAATGCTTGGCGCCCCAGCCATCAGTTCCTCGGCCGCCGGTACTAGAGCTATGCCGAATCCACGGCAATATCTCAATAACGACGTGCGCAATGTTTCTTTGAGAGTCACAAACCCATGGAATCGTTTTCATCTACGCTTTTCATGGTTTATGACATCGAAGTTGCCGCCGAATTCTCCATCTGCAGCACAACCTTGCTCGTCATCACATGCGCTCTCGGCTAACCCGGTTCTCCAACAGGAGTTGATGGAGCAAAGACCTACGTTGCGATCAAAGTATGTCTATCGTATTACGCCTCTAACACCAAGTATTTACAAGTATTTACATACAGCTAACACGTTCTCTCAAAGGGCATAGTCTATGATGTGACTGGCAACAAGGCGTACCAGCCTGGAGGCTCATACCACGGTGCGTATCTTGTCTCTTCCTTACCGCATCCACCATAAGGCTGCCTCACATACCTATGTGAGAACTAACAGGATAAACCAGTCTTCGTTGGAAAGGATGCTTCTAGAGCACTGGGAAAGACATCCACTAAGCCCGAAGATGTTAGGCCAGACTGGCAAGACCTCAGCGACAAGGAAAAGGGGACTCTCGAGGACTGGGTGACGTTCTTTTCTAAGCGATACAACGTAGTGGGAGTTGTCGAAGGTGCCAACAACTTATAAGCACCTCGAGCTGGATCTGTAGACATGGACGCGAGGCGTGGGCGCTTGGCACGGCGCATACTGGCATATACTGAGCTGAAATGCTTTGGCATGCGCCATGATCATGGCAGAATATTCTCCTCGTTTTCTCAAAGTTCAATCCCCTGCTGCATGTACCCGATCCTTTTACTGGATAACAACTGCTACTCCATTGCTGGACATTAATACCGTAACAATCTCAGGATCCCCTCCCAGCAAGCAACGTTGGGACTTGACTCGTACATGGCGCTGAGGTGGACTCTGAATGACAATGCCTGACGCTAATCAAGATGAACGACATTCCAAGAGCATGTAGGCCTTGCCGTACCATTCCCTGAGCCAGTAGAGTATTGCTACTGATGCAAGGAGGTGTCTCTTGGAGTGACACGGGGGTGTAACACGACTTGGTTGGGCGGCTTCACTTCCGTCGCTTGAAAGCAAATCCGTCCTCGCTTGGTCTTGGTACGGAACTGCAGTCTGGGGAGCCCGATGCTAATATATGCATGTTTTACCTCATTCGACCGGTCTGGTCGTTGCGCCGCGGTGGGTATGATGCTGGCGTATCTCGTCTCGTTTGACGGGGAGGGCGTGGTATATGGCTACAGTATGCATACACTAACGGCTCGTGCTGTTTGTAGTTTGAACCATGTACGTATTTAGGGAGGCGTGTAGGTATAGAGTACATGTATTCGTCTTCTCTCTACCTACCTACTAGTATCAAAAGTTGGATGCGAGATATGGGTGTGTGTGCACATGTGTATCCCGGAAGTGTGTGCTGTACACGTACCGACCACCCCCCACGACGCCCGTGGTCTCTTACTGCCTGTGATGCAAATCGCTCTCACTGCATTACATATTATGGCTGAATGCGGACACTACAAGCGGCGATGTTTCATTCGGTGCGTCGTAACTTATTCCATTGCTGCGGTAGGCGTGACTTCAACAAAAAGTTGGCGACTCCGAGGAGTGGAGGTGCTATCCGACGCCCTCTCTCCGTGCTCTCGTGAACCTGGCCGATTTTTCCTTTCTTTTCTTTTTCCATCTAGGCCCGCCATCAGCCGCAAACCCTTTGCATCCAACCATGCTTCGACAGCCATGCCTCGAAATAAAAAAAACAGGTTTATGTGCACTCCCTCAGGCCCATCACCAAGCCCCCCCTCCCCAGCTTGCGGTGTCCGTCGTCGCCCGTCCGACCCCTGTTATCCGAATCCACGACACAATATCCTTCACTCATTGAACACCCCGGTGTGATACGCCCACGGAAGAGCCCTTGACGAGGCACTCATCGCACGGCACCGCCTGTCGCCATGAGCTGCGGAGCACCTTGACTCCAAGGCACCCATGGTTGGGATCGTTGCGCGCAAAGTGGCAGTAGGACTTGAGCCTGACTTGGGAGTGATTGCAGGTGAAGAGGAATTCCTCCCAGTCGCACATTATGGGCAACGATTCGAGGGTGTAAGCTGATAAATCCACGACCAAGACTCCATTAGCAATGCTACAGCATCATGGGTTGGTTGCTTCGTATCGGAATCCTTACCACAAGATTCGAACGAGATCTTATCTGGATGAAAATGGTATTCGTTGCGAATCCGCTAATGGAGCTTCGACCTGTGAGAGTAACGGAGATAAAAGTCTACCCCGGTAGGAGGAACGGGGGCTTCGGGAAGCTTTTTATGTGTGAACCGTACATGCAGAGGCTACCGATGGCCCTGTTAGATTGATGAGGGTTCGCTACCGAGTGGCAAGCATCTCCATGATGGCTACTTCTATGAGTTCTCCCTACACAGTCCAACCAACATAGAAACACAGGTGCATGAGGTGGACGCAAGGAGGCAGACGCCATAGCATCATATGAGAGCATCGCACATGCGGGCACGGATGTCGTAACATTGTGTGGCTGCCCCCCTAGAGACCATCTCTGGGGGGGAGAATGATATGTCACATATATGTGCTCCGTTCTGTGCCACGGTTGTTGTCGAATCTAGATTCTCCCAGTGGATTGCTTTCCCTAAAGTAGCAATGCGAGTTACACGGAACGTTGGTTGAACAGTCATCTACCAAGTAGAAGGAGGGGGGAAGATGATCTCAGATCTCAGGGTGGGTGGTGCTATCACAACATCACGCCGCCGTGCGCCCTCTTAGAGGGACATGGAGCCTGGAGGGTTTTCAGCTCCCCAACCTCTCTCGTTTTGTTTGGTCAGCGAGCTGAAACGCGCATTTAACAATCACACGCCCTGACGTCGAGCGCTGAACAACCCACTCCCATATCAAATCCGAAAAAACGAAAAGAAAAGAGGGAAAGAGTAAACACGGCCTAACTATTTGTCCTTCTCGGGCGTGTACAGACAAATGTTTGTTCCCTCTTCTTGTACGTCCCATCATCTCCGCAAACACACTCCCTCCTGGCTGGGGTGTGTTACCTCCGTGAACCACGTCCCCCCATGCCCGCGATCTTTCAGCGGCGAATCATGGCTCGCCTGGCAAGTGGAGGGTAATGCAAAGCTGGCAAGACAAGGGGGGGTAAAACAGTCCCGTACAGGCGCTTACGGTGCCCGTCTGAGGAAACCAACAAATTCCATTATCAACGCCTTTTGCGTTAAACAGCAAGGGTTTGAGGCCAACCGGGCGGGGTTGGTTTACGGCTCGACTTGTTGTCTTTGCTTCTCGTTAGGGTCATGGGAGCAGTTTCCGGGTACCCGGATTCGCTAAAGAGAGACAAACAAGGCCAAGTGGGCATACTCCGTATTATAGCTGCGGTATGTGACTTGAACTCATAATGCCTCAAGCCGCTGCGAGTGTTTGTGATGGAATCTTGCCCGAATGAAGCATATTAGTGATATGGTTTTCGGGCGTAAATCCCGGCTTGGCGACGAACCCATGGTCCAATCCACCCTTGTGCTGGTCTTTTGGAGCACAAATGACCGACTTCACAACGGGCCCTGGGAAGTTTCATTTCAACTTCCTGGTAGAGGGTCCTTGAGGAGTTGAGAAGCCTGAAACAATTTCATAAAAAAACAGGATTTTTTTTCTTTCATCTTCTTTTTGGCCCCCATCTTGTTGCAGCCGGCATCCTTCCGCGACCAACCGGGACTGTGAAAGAATCCCCGCCAGAACTTAATATGCGATGCGAGCTTTGCATATTTCTTATAGTGCTTTTAAGCTGAATTTGTGCAACTCGCTGTATGCGGACCAATTGAAGGGAAGACTGACACTCTTAAACATTCGTTTACTAGTTGCCCAACCAGCCCTTCTCAATGGATTTATGACCAATTCAGAAGTAGAGGTTGATGTGAAGTTTAATATATTTTTTATATTCTACTAATATAGTTATATTCAAGGCACTGTGAGTTTTGGGTATTTGCATATGTGCAGTCCTGGTACCTAACGAGTTGAATCTTGGCGTTGAACAACTATATACACACTAGGTAAGGTGCAATAGCTTATTATTCTCCCTTACACAGCAAGGAAAATTTCAGAAATAAAGATACTTTCATCAGAGCTACAATTGAAGATTGCTTCCTTAACTTGAACGTTGTAAAAGAATATAAATTACAAAATAAATAAACCTAAAATTCAGTTCAGAATGTGAGTATAATTTCTTTATCCTCTTTAATAAGTAGCATGAATTCATTCGCATTCCAAAGGAGCTTGCTATATACATAGCAGACTTAAATTATCCTAGAGAATATATATATATGAACTAATTTATTAACAATATATAGTATTGAAATAGTATTTTGTTAAGACCTCTTTAGTATCCCAATATAATTCATGTTTTGAAACCCATTTATTAGTTACCTACGTTGTGATTTAATATATATTAGTTACTCATGGCTATAAATTAATATTACTATATCTTAACACACACTCATCTATCCACTTACTACTGTTTATCTAATGCTGTCCATAAGCTTCTCTTTTGCTAGCTATAAATATAGTGTTGAGTTCCTGTTCAAATGATATTGATTATCCAAGTGCTAGTGTGTTAGTATATGGATTATTACTAAATGTCTGATTCGAATGCGCTGCCCCTCTACCGCATTTTTGCGACTAATACATAAACCTCATCTGCAGTGGAAATACGTCTTGATATTACATACAGATAGTTCCCTCTTTAAGAGCACTACTTTGTAGTAATATCGATGAAACTAATGGGATTTTCATGGGAACAATACAAGGACTCTTAATATAGGAAGGTATAATAAGATCTTTCTCCCAGAATCCAGTTTAAATGCCAACAAATTACTAAATCTTAAATCAAAGGAAAGGAAAGCAAAGGAACGTCACTTCTCTATAATACTGTAGCCTCACAACACCTGATGCTTCTATATTGACCTCTCCTCTTACATTGATCGAACCGATCATAGAAGCCGCACAACTCTCGCTTATGCCTCTTTAAAAGATCATATTAACGTCGTAAAGCTTTTATTTTGTAGGAAAGCAAGTGCTTATTAAAGAAATCTTAAGCTCTTTATATCTTTTGAGCCTCATGCCTGGCCTTTGCTATCACAGCTCACTCGCGCTGCGTTAAAAGGCAATAGAAACGTTTGTCGTTAAGTTCTTGCTTACCTACATTGAAAAAGCCAAAGAAAGCTGGAGCTTGACATTTAGCCTTGATAGGAAGCTTATTCTGTTAATCGTATCAATACCTCCCGGATAGGCATTATACCTAGTAGTACCTTATGTTTCTACTACGCAATAGTAAGGAATAGTGTCGGTCTATTCTGTGCGCCTACGAGATCGCAAACGGCACTCTTACCTACTGCTACTCCCGTCTCTTCTAAGGCCTTGAGTTGACAGCATCTATCTACACACACAGATAACCAAAGCAGCCGGCTATTTCGCCCATGACCGGCTCTCAAATGCAGGGAAGGGGGGGGAAAGGCAAACATTTGCCTTTTGAGGAAAACCGGGGCGCGATGCCTCAGCTTATGCGACAACAGGCGACAATAAGGCCACGAAATCCATGCAGCTGCAAACTCATCAAACAGGCGACGTGGACGTGCGACAAGCGATGCTAGACCGATGGCAGTGTTCATTGGGCCGGCACATACGAGCAGAGTGGGATTTGCCGTGAGATGCGACACGGGCCGTGGAATCATGGCTGTGCTAGCAATGGATGACACCTGCACGACATGCCACCAGCTTGCGACAGCCGGCTTCGGCCCCGACTGTGCGAAATTTGCGGGTGAAGGACATGGAGTCGGCAAGAGTCGCAAAAGAAGGAACCCCGGAACTGCAAGACTTGAGGATGAGGATGAGGAGAGCAAACTGGCGTTGAGATTAAAATTGCAACGGCGTTATCAGGAATAAATTTGGGGGCCGGTGTCGTGTCTCGGCAGCAGCACAAACTGTTGGGCTTTTCGGTCTTGGGTCGCGCCTCGTGACATTCTACCTGGTTGCCTTGCGAGGGACACCTGCCTTGGTCCGGACGCCTTTTTTGCTAGTCGCGGTTGCCTTGTTGTTCAAGCAAAAAGCTGCGGTTCTTGGGCCGTCGCGCGCCGATCTGATTGGACTAATCGCGACGGCAAGAGCCCCTGCGCTTGCGTCTTGCGTCTTGCGTCTGACCGAGCAGGTGCAGAAAGAGTCTGGTACGTACAGTCGAAAGTGAGGCGAGACGAGTCGGAAATCCCATTGTCATCACCACCACCGGCCTCATCATGCACAGTAACCCCTGGATCTGAATCCCCAGCAACCGCGGCAGCAGTATTGGTCGAATCCGGCACGACAAGCAGCGGGAAAGAGATCCGGCTTGACCGACAGCCACCGGGCGGCCAATTACCGGCCTCGAGCGCCATCTTTTTCCATCGCGGACGTCGAACTGACGGGCCTTTGCTTGCTGTGCCGTCACCTACTACTGCTTAGGGCCGGTTGCCTTGCCGCTGCGTCTGGTTGCCTCGTTTCTCAACGCTGGCATTTCTTTGCCTGAATTTACAGCTCAGCACAGCACAGCTCAACACAGCACAAGCCCGGGCGGTTGCTCGCCTCGACCCGGCGCCCTTCTGCTCGTGAATGCTGCCCAGCCCGGACGGGTGTGTGCCTCGACGCCATTTCTCGCCCTCGTCTCTGCTCCCACCTGTTAGTCGGTGTTACGTCCTGCCCCAATCATCGAGCCCAGGAGTGTCTGCAGACCGACTTTGACTCCCGATGATCCTCTGCCCCCTCTGGCTGTCGCACTGTCTCTGCTAACCCCGCCGTTTCTTTTCCAACGGACGGACGATATTGGCCGAGTCGCCCAACAACGCGGCGCAGGACCCGTGCTGGGCTTTCGTCTATATCCACTGCTGAGACTATAACTCGTCTCTATTCCCACCGAGCTTGCCCTGGCACCAGGAGGCCTACGCTACTCAGATAGGCTGTGCGCGACCACCAGGATAGACAGACAGTCTCTAGCCCAACATGAATCGAGTACCTGGGGATTCTCAATTCCACAGCTCCAACTCTCAGGATAGCCCGCGGTTCTCAGAGCCATACAACCTCTACCAATTCTATAACACAGATGGCCCCTGGGTTCCCCAAAACATCATCCAGCCGGCGGACACGCTAAATTCCTCATCTCGTCCGTCTGCTTATAATAGCGGAGCGCGCAGCTTTCATGACTACAGGAGCACTGGCTTGCCCTCTGAGTGCGGCACTGCTCCAGACGACTCTGGTTATGGAGGTTCTCGCTCGACATATAGCTTCGCTGAGAGCGTCGCGGGGAATGACCGGTGTACGGAAAACGTCTACCTAGAGACTGCGGCGGAGCAGATGATTGGCGACTTGAACATCAACCCCGTCGTACCGATGTACACGCCACCTCAAATGCAGCACCATCAAGCTTCCCCTGTAGAATTCCGATGTGAACACTGTGGTGCCGCTTGCAAGACGAAATCAGAGCTCAAGTATGTCTCATATAGAGGAAGAAACGATGGCTGTGTCGAGTTGCTAATAAAACGAAGGAAGCACAGCGCCAGGCATATCAAGCCGTACAAATGCACCTACGAATCTTGTTCCAAGGCTAAACAGGGATTCAGCACGCCCAACGACCTAGCCAGACACAAGAAAACAGTCCATCGCGAGCACAATGACAACGACCCTATATACATCTGCCGCCATGGCAGCTGTTCTCGAAAGAAGGAAAAGCTGTGGCCAAGAGCCGACAATTTCCGGAGTCATCTGGCCCGTTCTCATAACATAACTCTCAAAGCAGACAGTGATCTTGGAGAATACCGCCACAAGTACGTGCTATTTTTTTTCTTTTGTAGATCTATATCACTATATCTGATGCAGGTTGCATACTAAAGCCTTTTTAAACAGACCGGATACCACAAAGGCACCTAGAATCCAGGACAAGGCACGATCAACTGCTCATGTAAACCCCGGACATCGACCGATGCAGCTGCAAGATGCTCCTCTTTTATATACGTGCCCTCACCAGTCGTGCCCCCAAGCAAAAGGGAAGACATGGCCAAGAGCCGATGACATTCGGGCTCATTTATCTCATGACCATAACTTACAGCTTGACGATGACCTCAAGGGTTACCACTTCCAGTATGTGCACATATCCCAAGCTGCAGTGGGTGCAGACTGGTCAACTAAGACGTTCCAAATAGATCGGAAGCAACAGAGGCGCACGCGCTTCGAGGCGTTGGATCCTCCATCGCTGATGTTGACCCGGAGCCCCGACCGCCGCAACTGCAGGATTCTCCTGACTTGCGGGGCGACCAAGTTTCAACAACTGCCTCGGGTCAGGTACAAAACGAATCCTCAAAGCAAAGTGACTTGCCACTAACCCAGACGTGTCTGACAAGCGGGGATAGACCGCCGCTGATGCGGCCAGGTATTCTAGATGCCCTGACGATGTCCTCAGTCCCTGGCTCTGAAACTCTTGCCAGCCATCCGATCGTTGATTTGACATGTGCTGATGAAGGCTCTCCTGGAGAGTCCGAAGCTATGCTGCCTCGCGATGAAGTAATACCAGAAACATTTGATCATGAAGGAGATGATATCATTGGGGACGAAGAAATACTCGATCGCCAAGAACCATTGATGCTCGAAATTGCTTCACCCGCCGCATCAGTTCAGCTCAAGGTTGACAGTCCTCAAGATGATATCCCCGATTCCCCGATGGCAACAAAGATGCCTGATCAGGTCCTTGAAGCATCCGCAGCGGCGCCAGCCGACGCACCCACTTTGGAATCATGTAAGGAGCTGCTCCCTCTTTTCAAAAACGCTCCGACGAGGGACATTCTCTCGTTTCTCAGAAACATCCCCAAGAATCTACTAGAGCAGGCCCTAAAGCCTGAGGATCAACCAGCAAGCGGGAATGAGGATTCGAGTGACCCGGGTGAGCACCAGAAGGCAGAAATACTCTGTAAGGCGTGTGGGAAAGCATTTTCTCGAAATTGCGAACTTAGGTAACCCCCCTGTTTATTATTGATTCCATGGACGCGCAGCTCATACGAATTTTAGAAAACATATGAAACGGCATGAGAAGCCCTATGGGTGTACCTACAAAACGTGTGGCAAGAAGTTTGGCAGCAAGAATGACTGGAAAAGACATGAGAGCAGTCAGCATTTCCAGCTCGAATCCTGGAACTGCAATGTTCCGGGCTGTGACATAGTGGTGCCTCGTCGAGAGCTATTCAAATCGCATCTCATGGATCATCACAATGTACAAGACAGCCAAGAGATTGAGAAACGGCAGGAGGACTGCAGACTAGGTCGACACTGCGATCCACGCTTCTGGTGCGGTTTCTGTGATAAATTCGTTGAGATCAAAGGAGAGGTTGTCAACTCCTGGACCAAGAGGTGCGACCACATTGATAGCCACTTGTTTGGTAAAGACGGGCTGGAGAGGAAAACCATGCGCCAGTGGCGCTACCTTGAAGATAAGCTGGCAGAGTGGGAACCCAAAGGCAAACCGGCAGAGGGCTCATCCAGTGCCGGCAAGAAGCGGAAGGCTACAGAGGATGTGAGCTCGCGTCCATCCAAGAGAACCAACATTAGTTGGAACTGGAACTGTGTAAGTCATGATGAGCTAATTCTACCGGCAAGTTTGTGCATCTAACGTGATGAGCAGTGTCGCTGTGGCCATCTGGAAACCTATCACACGAGTAGTTCTTGCCAGGAGGGCGAGTGCCAACACCAGCGCTGCAGTAACTGTAAGATAGAGGCAACTGAAGTGCGAGATGACGACGATACCGAGATGGTGAATATGAACCAAGGGGCAGTGTAAACAAGAGGAGGACTGGAGGCGGTGCCCAGCCATCAGGCTGCGAGTGTTCCCATGTCTTTTCCCAGATGTTGAGATAAAGTTGGCAGTGGTTCAGCCGCACAAAGCGTACAAGGGAGGCTGATAGCGAAGAAGCGATGAAGCATCGGACGGGGCAGTACATTTAGCTTGATGCTGCAAGGATGATGGTCGTACGAGGGGCATTGATCGGGCCGGATTGACTGTACTTTGGATAAAATAATATGCTGTGTCTTGTGCGTCTAAGTAATGAAGAGCCGGTGGGAAGCAGCTGTGCTTGAGGCTTGAGGCGCAGTCAAGTCTTGGTTGATGCCTGTGGGATAAGCGCCGTCACTGTGTGTCACTGATAACACGAGAAAATTAGACGCCAGACCGAATTCCACCAGGTACATGTACCACGATGGACACGCACAGCCCGCGAAGTGACGATACCTTTGTACTACTCGTATGCGTATAGTAGGAGGAAGATACTAAAGAGCTGGGCTGGAAAGTAGAAGCAAAAAGAAGCAAAAAAAAAAAAAGGCAACCTGATGCCTGCCGTCTTGGCAGCAGCACGCGGGCTGCCTTGCTTGGGCCTTGCTTGGGCCTAGAGAGGCTTGTCTTTTTTTACTTTGGACGCCTTTTTCTTCCGCTTTCTCTCTTCGGGGGTGAGACATTTGACGTGAGCCCCTCACTATTTGGACCTTTTCGCTGGTGTTGTTTCCCCCCCTAAGGCACGGGAAGTGTTGGCGGAAACAACAAAAGTCAAGGGGCAAGAAACGGCTGGAGCACTAAAAAAAAAGGAGCGAAAAGAACTAAGGACAAAAGTAGGCAAAGGGAAAAAGGCGACAAGAGTTCCCGACGGAAGCCGGCAGAAGGGGAAAAAGGGGTGAGGGTGTGGGCGCTTGTGTTTTAGCAAAGGTTACCTGTTTTGGGATGGGATAGTATCTGTTTTTTGTTTTTTTTTATTGCATTGCAGTGTGTATTATTGTTATTGGTGTGTGGATGTACAGTACCATATTGCGTCTGGTTCCATTCAGCCGTGTTGTATGACTGGGCGAATGGAAATTGGCGTTGTTTGAGTGAAAAGGGCAAAACGGGATGATATCAAAAAAGGCAAAAAGGCGAGTTGAATAGAGGACGCTTACATGCACGGTACAGTAAGTACACAAGGTTAGTATAGTAGGTTTCAATGCAGGGAGAAGGGCGGGCAAGAAAAAAAAAACACGGCTGTGCCTAGAATAAAAACCTGGATGATGCAGCCGGGCCGCCGACTGAGACATCCGATGATTTGTGCCTTTTCTTTCTTCTTCTTTTCTTTGGCCCCTTTCCCGCCTCAACTGGGCAAGTCGGAGTATGGTTGTATTTTGTGACCCAGGCCTAGAGGCTGATACCACGTGGAGGGACGGCAAGATGCACAAAAGGCAGAGAGAGAGAGAGGGTGGGTTGAGTGTTACCCAAGAATGTTTTAAAAAAGAAAACGAAAACTGGATACGGCAGATAACATCAATGTTACTAGGCACATGTAGTTGCCTTGCATGTACTGTCGTGCTCGTACTGCCGTATATTCCGTCGAATTCCTTTTTTTAGATTCCGTCCGAAATGGGCAGTGCAGAGTATCTAGTCTTTTTTTTTTTTTTTTTTTTTTTTGCTTGTCCTTCTAGAAGAAAATGCTTGGGTTTCATTCTTTGTCGGGTATCGCTACTACTTGAGTGGTGTGGTATAAAGATAGAAAATACCACCCAGCAATCCCACTTGCCGGACGACGAAACGGGAAGGAGGCAAGCTATAAGGGAGAGGCAGAGGAAAGAAAATTGCTGCATATGGGTTGTTGGTTGATTGCTGGTTACCTTGCAGCGAGCGAGTGACATTCGCTGCATGAGCCGGCGTTCTCCATATTGGCATGGAGTGAAGGGTGGCCGCGTTTTGGGGGTAGCTTTGGGAATGGGGAAAGATTTAAGGCAAAAAAAAGGAGGGCTGTGTAAAACAAGAGATGGAGGTGGGAAAGAAAAAGAGGCGGGAAAAAAATGGCTACTGCACGACTGCACGCGGCTACAATCTAAATCTGAGATGTGAGAGTTGAGGATATAGGCGACACAAAGAGAGAGAGAGAGAGAGAGAGAGAGAGAGTATGGAAGTGAGCGAGGGGGGGGAAGGGGGGGGTGGAGGGAAGCGCGAATCGAATAAGCGCCGTGTGTATACTTCGTACGAGTACTCGACGCCTTGTGCACGAGTCTGGTGCTAGCAATGCATCTCGTAGCGGTGGCATGTGAAGATAGAGAGGGAGACAGCAAGCAAAAGACGGTACTCTGTAGTTTCGATCGAGATGGTACCTCCTCATGAGCCTATAGGAGGCGGGGATTGGGTAGGAAACTGCACGTACGAGTACATGAAGGAGGGGCGTGGCAGATGTTATTCTCCTCTTCTTTTGCGGTGTTCAGCTGAGGTTGGAGAAAATGGCCTAGTAGGAGAGGAGCCAGCCAGATGGTTGAGAAAGGACCAGCATGGCCAGGGTTCAAGGGTGGGATGCAGGCGTACCTACTACGACACTCGGTATGATGTGATGCATGGCCATGACTTGACCGGTGCGGTGCGGTGGCCTGGCGCATCAGAGCAGTCGAAATACGGTAAGATGAGACGAGACGAGACGAGACGAGGTGGGAGGCCGGGCATGACAAGCACGGTGATGATGCTGGAGTGGACATGTCATGTACATGTATGTATGTCGGTTACGAAGCAGCCTGTGAGAGATGCTGTTGCGAATCTCAAACACTCGAGCCCAGGCAGCAGGCCAGACGCTTGCTCTCGGCGGATTGGGGGCTGCAAACACTGTGCCTTCAATGTTGTGTGTGGGCTCAGGCATGCCCTGCTTCGATGGATTGTCACGCTCGACCGGGATACTCACGATTGGGTCTTGAGGAGCTGAGGAGGCAGATTCACCAGCCATGGGACGCCAGAAGAGGAAAAAAAAAAGGCAGATTGGTTCCCCCCCAAAGTACGTGGCTTCATGGTTCCCCCCCTAAAGAGGCTTCAATGGGCGCCAGACACGGAGGAAATCCGAAACAGTGGGAGCCTGTGTTTGAGAAGGACGATGAAGAGGTGAAACAGAAAGATGGGATGAATGGCTGAGGCGCTCGCGGGGCGGTTTCGGGGGGGGCACCTCCATCTCACCAGCGTTGCGAGACATACGATTCCTTCCAGGACTGACAGATAGACTGACAGACAGAGGGCCAACGGCATGGGAAGAGGTGCATGTCGGTTGATGGGCCAGGACACTGCTTGGGTCGAGACAGCACGGTGAGCAAAGTGCGTGTGCCTGTACGTGTGCGTATCGCACCGCAACGCTAGGGTCTCAACAATGGGCCTGCTTTGTGTCGTATTCTTGCCTCGTTTTGCCTTGCCTTGCCTCGCCGTGCCTCGTCTTGTTAGTGTTTTGTTTTGCTCAAAAGGCAACTTGTCGGGGCCGTTTAGCCCGTCGGCCGCAACGGACGAGCAAGCACCGGAAATATCACCCCCCAATGAATGCCCCGAGGGTACCGGCACCGTACATACAGCAGTGAGATTGCGTGCTGGGAAAGGGGGAAACCAGCGGCCCTTTGGGTCAATGTTAGGTATCTCACTTGATGCACCGAGGCCGAGCAGCCGTGGGCAAGCGACGGTGACATGGCCCATGTCGGTTGAGGACGGCGACCCGGGACGCTGGCATTGAAGCCTAGTACATGTACCTGGTAGCAGTTAGTAGAGCGGTGCCAGCATAGGTCGGATAGCAATCGTGGTCTGCTCCCGAAGGGCACAAAAGACCTGGTCGATATCACCTGTGCTGTACGTGAAAAAGAGATGGACCAACAACAGGTGAATTACTCGTACATGGGATGGTGGGATGGGGGTTGGCACATGGGCTTCTGGCGTAGGCAGGAGGGGGCGTGTGATTATACCTGTATGTACTAGGAAAGCCCCGATCGCCTTGTAGCTAGTAATTGGTCCAGAAAGAGTGAGTTGCATATGGAATCGAACAAGGGTAGTCACATCGATCAGGGGTACCCCTGTTGATGGGAAACCGGCGAGAGAGGCCTTGTTTTTGGTGTTTAGTTGTTGGGCGACAAGTCCAAACGATGCCTCTTACTTTGCTGCCGTTCAATTAGCCCGCGGCAGGGCAAGCGAGGTGCCTTGGTCATCCAATGTCGTCAATTTTGGAACTCTGTGCTCGTGGCCAAAGGGAGCGCCAGGGCACAACGTTACGCTTGCCCCGAGGCCCCTGCCCGCCTGTTCGGGGAGGGGGATTGGCAGATCTTGACAAACTTTGAGGAGGACCGAATGCCGTGACGATTCGCAGCTGCTGGGATGAAATCTAGGATTGGAGATTTGCCAGTCGATTTCGATGGTCCCTTCGGGATGGAGGGGTGGCCGGGGAGGGGGGGGAAGAGATATGACGAGTGTGGAGGTATCACAGCGTCGGGGGAGGGGGCTGTGGAGAGTTTTTTTCAGCTTCAGGGTTGTAGGAATGCCTTCTCATTCGAACGCCTCACTCGTGGCCCCGGCAGGACTGGCCAGCAAGCCCATTTGCGGCTTTCACAATCGACCCAAAGGCCCTTTGTCGGACATATTGGATCCTATCCTGACGAAGCTTGACGCCAATGCCATGTCGACCGAGGCCCAGAAGTTGCTCGGAGCTTTGGAAAATGGGCAAAAGACCAGCAGGAGGAAGCAATCTTGCGTTCATGCGACGGGGCTGCCGCTCGCTGACGCACACGGAGATGGGCGGCGAGACAAAAAGATGCAAATCGGGCACTCGTCCGTACCCAAGCAGCCACGGCACTGTATATTACCTGTACACCATCACGTCCTCGCACTTGCCAGATCGCGCCAGTGGACAGTTGCGAGACTCTGGTTTGATTGCGAATCGAGAACGCCGTCGCAACAGTTTGGAAAATGTGACAAGACGCCCCGTGTAAGTGGGCTGGGACAAAACAAAAGCAGGGGCGCCGACCTGGCGTTTCCCCTGCCAG